AAGTTCAGTCATAGCAAGCGTCAACTTGTGTTCATCAAATTGCCTCTGTAGGGCTGGGGCTCCCTTTCTCTTTCTCTCCAGTTGTGTTACTTTACATTCAGCAACAACAGCTTTTTCCCTGGCTTCCTCCGCAGTTTGCCGTATCAAAGTAGGTTCCTGTATCAATTTCTGGGTGGTTTCTGTATTGATATTATTTATACTTTCTGTATTTAGGTTGATTTTAGTAATTGAAACATCCATTTTCGCATTTATCGTGTTCATTTTCCTGTTAAGCTGATCCAATGAGTCATTTATCTTATAAAATGCAGCCATTAAAGCCTCTTCTGTCAACATTCTTCTTGGTTTTAAATATGCTGGAACAAAGGCAGCAACAGAGGGAGCAGGGGGCCTGATGATGGACCTCTTCTGGATTGTTGCCAAGTCCTCCCAGACCTTAATGTTTTGTCAGCAGTTGACTGGTCTGTTTTTCCTCTTCCATTTACCATAACACTTAAAAGATTCAAGGTCAGTCCCAGAGTCTCACGGTTTTTAACTTGCAGCTGGAAATTCCCCTAGCCCAGCTCTTGTAAAACAACCGGTTTCAAAGGCTTCCACTAGGGGGAAACAGTTTCTATTTGTAATAGTCAATAGTATCCTCTTTTCAACAATCCAAAATTAGTTTCAAATTAGTTTTAATTTTCAGTTACTTTTACTCCTTTTTAAAGCAGCCGGAAACAGTAGAAACAATGTATTTCTCTTGTTTAACTAGCTGTCAATGAACGTTCTAAACGCTGTCAATGAACATTCCAAAAGACGTCAGTCCTACTAGCAGCCCATTTCCAGGGTCAGAGCGGCGGTGTTTTAAATCTCTTCACTCTCTCCCACAGGCATAATCAATCCGCAACTTCCCCCTCTCTTCTCCTGCCTCCAAGAGGGGGTTTAATGTTCTTTACTGATGGAAATTTAATCTTTTACAAAAGACTTTCCAGGACTCCAGCTTGCAACTTCATTGCCTCAGTCTATTTACAAAAGGGGAAGGCGGACTTCCTGTTTTGAACCTCCCCGTTACGATACCAAATCAAGCATTTAGAAATCCAATTCTTCCGTTTCAGATCTACTCACGGGTAATTATTTTAAACTCAAATTGTCCACAGGAAAAAGTCAGCGCTCTCTGGCAACGGCTGTGTGGCTTCGCTCCGTGGAAGAAGCAGACGATTCGAAGCACCATGCCACTCACCCCACGTTGCTCCGGAGCCCCGAAATCGGGTTTCCCCGCGAGTAGGGGAGGCGCAGAAGGTGCCCGCCGAATCCCACGTTCACAGGCTTCTCCCGCCTGTGATTTTAATGGGGCTCCGCCTTCGCCGTGGCGGCCAGACCCAATTTCCCACGGGGCAAATTCCTCCCGGTCAGAGGAATTCCGCCATTGCTGATGGCGCCAACCCAGAAGCTCAATTTTAGCAAGTTCCAAGTATTCTATCATCTTCACCTGCCAGTCAAGCTTTGTAGGAATTGAGTCACGTTTCCAGTTTTTTGCTATTAAAATTCTAGCTGCCGTAGCTGCATACATAAAGATAGTTCTAAAGTGTTTTGGTATTTCAGTCGACTTATGTCCACTGAGCCATGGCTGACTTCTGCAGGCATCCAAGAATGGGGCCATGGGAGAAGCAGGAACCTCCTGCAGTGTAAAGCTGTGAGTCCCTCCATCATAGGCTCAGGTGATGTATGGGTGTGCAAATAAACCATAGATCATAAAGACACTGCAGTCTCTTCTGCCTCTTACTTCCAAAGGAAGCACAAATCCTGGGTAAGCACATGGACCCCTGGAATTACATGCACCCTTTGGCATGGCATGCAACAATACATTTACTAGACTCTGTCACACTAGAGTTTGTTGCCTTGGAAAGAGGGAGAGAGGCAGCTCCCTAAAGGGAGCCATTTTGAGCTTGGTTTTCATACCACCTTCATGGCAGGAGAGAGGAAAAAGGCGGGAAAACGCCTCTGCTAGAGGACGGCTCCCTGGTCTCTGCTCAGTTTGCTCACATCCCTTGTCTGGTCTGGAGGGGAGAGGGAAAGGGTCTTATTTTCCCACAGAAACAATCCTGGGACTCGTTTGGTTCCTCACCAGACATCTCACCCCTTAAGTCTCTGAGGGAAGAGGGAACGGAAGCAGACAAGCCAGAGGTTTCTGAGGGAAGGTGCCGGGCGCTGTTGTAAATAAAATCATGCCCTTTTCCCCTTATGGGGTATCCAAGAGCCCATATAGAGTCCTTACATAGGTACCCTATTGGTAGAAGAAAATAAGAGAGGTTAACCAGAGACAAACCTAGACAGCATCTTAAAAAGCAGAGACATCACCTTGCTGACAAAGGTCCGTATAGTTCAATCTATGATTTTCCCAGCAGCGATGTATGGAAGTGAGAGCTGGACCATACAGAAGGCTGATCGCCGAAGAATGGATGCTTTTGAATTATGGTGCTGGAGGAGACTCTTGAGAGTCCCATGGACTGCAAGAAGATCAAACCTCTCCATTCTGAAGGAAATCAGCCCTGAGTGCTCACTGGAAGGACAGATCCTGAAGCTGAGGCTCCAAGACTCCATTCTGAAATAAATACCTCTTTTGGTTTATTTTTTTATCTTTTCTGAGAAAAGAAAAGAAAAGCTCAGACCCATGTTTTCTACTCACGAGACAAACAGAATTTGGGTGAGCCTTTGCTGGCCCAAACTGGAGGGAAACCCCTGCAAGAGCTCAAAGGAAGTTTGGGTGGGTTTTTTTAAGCAGAGGTTGGGTGGACATCTGTCATGGACGCTTAAGATTCCTGCATTACAGGGGGTTGGACTGGATGACCCTTGGAGTCCCTTGCAACTCTAAGATTCCATGATTCCATGAAGAGAATCCACAGAAATTCTCTTTGAAGGAAATCTGTAGGAACTCCTCCTCTTGTGACTTTTGCAGCCAGGTTGCCTTGTGCCCTACATGTCTTCTGCATGTAGAAGATCTTCCCCCTGGAGGAGGAGGCAAAATTAGAAGGGAGGAGATGCACCCTCCCCAAAAAACCCTCCAGGGAGTAAATAACCTCTAACTTGCAGTGCTTTTCCTGCTGGTACTCAAGGGTACTTAGTACCATTAGCTGAAGCGGCACGAGGAAGGGGGGAAAAAAACAGTTGAAGGGAACATAATATAAACAAGTCTGCACTCGGAGGTGGAAAGATTATTCGTGTTTTTTGACACGTTGAAGATCACAGAGCCAGAGGCAAAAAAGTTTGGAGAGATAAAATCGGATAGGGAAATATCATGAGAGGCAGGACTGAGAATTTGGAGTTGCTTTGAAGTTCAGGCCGTGGGAAGCCGTAAAACCAGAAGCAAATTCAGAAGACAATTGGATTTTTTTTATTTTAGTTTTTTTTAATTTCTATTGGATTATGATTGTGATTTGAATGTTAATTGGATGTTTTTATTGGAAAATTAATAAACGCTCTAACAAAATAAAAAGTAAAAAAGGGTACTTAGTACCAGCACCTTCTCCCCAAAAAAACATTAAAAGTGCGGCACTTAGAATCATAGAGTTGGAAGAGATCGCAAGGGCCATCGAGTCCAACCCCCTGCCAAGCAGGAAACACCATCAGAGCACTCCTGACATATGGCTGTCAAGCCTCTGCTTAAAGACCTCCAAAGAAGGAGACTCCACCACACTTACATTAACAACTTCATGAAGACCCTACAAGTGAAGTGTCCTTATTTTCCATAGACAGTTCTGGTTTTACAGAAGCCATCCCAGGTTCTGATTTGATCCCAGAATGTCCCACTTTTCCTTAAAAAGGTAAAGGAACCCCTGACAGTTAAGTCCAGTCGCAGACGACTTTGGGGTTGCAGCGCTCATCTCGCTTTACTGGCAGAGGGAGCCGACGTTTGTCTGCAGACAGTTTTTCCAGCATGACTAAGCCGCTTCTGGAGAAACCAGAGCGGCTCACGGAAACGCCGTTTACCTTCCCGCCGGAGTGGTATCTATTTATCTACTTGCACTTTGACGTGCTTTTGAACTGCTAGGTTGGCAGGAGCAGGGACTGAGCAATGGGAGCTCACCCCGTCGCGGGGATTCGAACCGCCGACCTTCTGATCGGCAGCCCCTAGGCTCAGTGGTTTAGACCACAGCACCACCTGCGTCCCTCGGACGTCCCTATTTTCATCTGAGGGAATGCTTCATGGGGGGTTCTGGCACCTTTCCCTCTTCTTTTTAAAAAAAGCACTGCGAACCAGGATAGACAAACTGGGTGGGGGTAAGACCCTTCCTTCAGGGTCTTACAACTGACAGAAAAGGCTGGACAGCTCACGCTTTTAGGGTGATGACAGCACCACTGATTCATGACTGAAGCAGGAAAAGTCCAATGCTTTTTTTGGCCACCCTAGAAACAAATATGGCCTTATTTGGGTTACCCATTCAGCTTTCCACACCCTCCAACATTTCTCGGATGAAAATAGGGACGTCTCATTCCATAATGATAATTTTACTAATAATTTTACCCACACATCTTACTGGGTTTCCCCAGCCACTCTGGGCAGCTTCCAACATATGTAAAAGCATAATAAAACATTAAGCATTTTTTTTTAAAAAAAAACTTCCCTGTATAGGATTGCCTTCAGGCGGCTTAGGGGCTGAATAACTTCATACCCTCCAACATTTCTCCAATGAATATAGGAACATCCTAAGGAAAGCGGGACATTCCGGGATCAAAACAGAAACCAGGACGGCTTCTCTATATCAGTGACGTCCCTGGAAAATAGGAACACTTGGATGGTCTGGCTTCCCAGACTGCATTTACCCCCTCTAGGGGTAAATTATTTCCTTTTCCTTTTATTTCATAAAATTTATATACACTTGATAGTCAGAAAAAAGATTGTTCTAAATCTAGTAATAAGAAGAGTTTATTTTAAAAATAAATCCCAAAGAAGACAGAAAAAGGAAAAAAGGAGGAAAGGCTTTCAGATAAATTCCTTTTCTTATTTTTTATAAATCTATAAATGCCCCCAATCTAAAATGGTGATATACTGTATATTAATTTGTAAAAAATGTGGAAAAGAAGATTGAGGCAGGAGACGGAGGAGCAGAAAGTGCAAACTGACTTCTTAGATGGGTTACAGACAAATTTACCAGTTAGAAATATTATGCAATTCCAAATTCTACGAACTCTCATCTTACATAAACGGATTTAATTAACCAGACGAAACAAGCCCTTCCCCCTCCTTATTGTTGCTACGTTTGATCTGGGGGGTTCTTGGTTTGATTGCGTGCCAAAAGTAAAACGCTAAGAATAGTTGCGACTCTTCGCTGTGAACTTAGCCTGCAGCCCCTTGTAGTTCGCCCGGCAAACAGCTCGAGCTTTGGACCCGCTCGGTGTGGAATTACGCAATTGCCACTCGGTTCTATTGTCGGCTGTGCCCGCCTCCTTCTCCATGGATCAGGTTTTGTGGGCACACCAGGAATGAGGCAGGCTGGCATCTGAGCCCAAGCCCGACCAGGAGCTTTCTTTTGAGTTGGGCAAGGAGGCTGGCATGGAGTTCAGCGCAGCCACGGCCGCCCTTCTGGCTATCTGCATCGCCTGCCTACTGATGTTCTTCAAAGGGAGCAGGCAGGGCAAGAGGGGGCATCTTCCCCCAGGACCTCGGCCGCTGCCCATCGTGGGCAATCTGCTCCTCCTGGACATGAAGAACACGGTGAAGTCAATGTTGGAGGTAAGGTCAGCGCCTTGGGGTGGGGGGGTCAGCTAAATGCTGCTGCAATCCTTTAGGAAGACACCTGTTTGCAATTGAGAAGAGGCTAAGGGAGGGGCAAACCTGAGTTCGAATCCTGCTTGCTGGCCCCTGTGGGAACTGGATGCTGGACCAGCCGGGCCCCCTTGGGCCTGATCCAGCAGGTTCTTCTTACATCTGGACGTCCTCTCTGCACCCCGTGGTTCCCTCCCCCCCTTTCTCCCTCTGCCTCCAGCTCAGCCAGCGCTATGGATCTATCTATACCATCTACCTGGGCTCTCAGCCCTTTGTGGTTCTCTGCGGGTACCAAGTGGTGAAGGAGGCCCTGGTGGACCAAGCCGAGGAGTTCAGTGCCCGCGGAGACTTGCCGGTGATTTTCGACTTCACCCGAGGGGATGGTGAGCCCGCCTGCTTCCTCCGCTTGCAGCTGGGGTGGGTGTGTCTGAGCGGGTGTGTGTGTGTTAATTCCTAAAAAGAGAGGTGCAGGGATGGAGAAGGGGCAGGAAAGGGCGATGAGATTCGGTCTGAACACCTCTTTTGGAGAAAGCCTCTAATGTTTCTCAGTTTGGGCAAAAACATAGGCGGCATGATCAGAGAGAGGGAGTTGGGCATGTTTAACCTGGAGAAGAGGAGATTGACAGGTGACAGGAACAGGATAGCCTCTTTACATCGATAGGTTGTCCTGTGCAAGATGGAGGAAGTTTGTTATCTGCTGCAATTATTATTATTATTATTATTATTATTATTATTATTATTATTATTTTATTTTTACCCTGCCCATCTGGCCGGGTCTCCCCAGCCACTCTGGGCAGCTTGCAACAGGATATTAAAAACACAATATGGCATTAAACATTAAAAACTTCCCTAAACAGGGCTGCCTTCAGATGTCTTCTTAAAGTCAGATGTCTATCCAGCCCAAATGCCTTCTAAATCCGGCCCGCGGACAGTCCTGGAATCAGTGTGTTTTTGCATGAGTAGAATGTGTCCTTTTATTTAAAATGCATCTCTGGGTTAGTTGTGGGGCATAGGAATTCATTTATAATTTTTTCAAAATATAGTCCGGCCCCCCACAAGGTCTGAGGGACAGTGGACCGGCCCCCTGCTGAAAAAGTTTGCCCACCCCTGTGGTAGACTCTCCTTCCTTGGAGACATTTAACCAAAGGTTGGATGGCCACCTGTCATGTATGGTCTAGTTGCGATTCCTGCATTGCAGGGGGTTGGACTGGATGTCCCCTTAGGGTCCCTTCCAACTATAGTTCTATATAAAATGAAGGGGGAGGAGGGCAGAGTTTTTGGTTCCTCAGGACGCCCCAATATGTAGTGACGGCAAATAGCTTAGATCAGGGGCGTGCGGTCATTGGACTAAGAGGACTAGGCTATTCCCCTAAATTTCCCCCTGGTGCCTCCTTCCCAAAGCCCGGGAAGCTTCTGCCCAGTTTAGGGAGGGCGGAACGAGACTCTTATGGGTCCAGAATCCATCCTGCCATCTTCCCAAATCCCACCCGGCTTTTGGACGGGATCCTGCCAGAGCCCTGGCACCTTCTTTACAAAGCCCAGGATGCTTCTGCCCAGCTTAGAGAGCGAGGCATCATGCTCAAGTGTGAGACGTCAGGACGTCGATGTCGGGAATCAAGCCTTTATCAGGAGAAACTGGCAACTCTCCAGGCACCCGGCTTGGTCTCCTGTTGACCTCCCTGTCTGCATTCCCCAGCAGGATACAGGCTAGGTCGCGATAGGCGATTCTTCTCAGCGTGAGAAGAACACCCCCCCTCTTTCCTGCCCCCGCCTGCAGGGGAAAGAGATAGACAGAAATGTATTCACATTCCTTTATTTCTGTCTTTGCAGCATTACAAAAGCATGACTGCTCTCTTCAAACTCCAGCAGTCGAGACACAAACACTTCCTGTACAAGAGCAAAAGGAAGAGCTCATATTACACTCTGAGCTAATTCCGGTGCATTGCCCTGTGAATTGACTGTCTCTCTGTTTCCCACGGAACAGTCCTAACATTCCATCATGTGCTGTTTTCAAGCCAGCAGCTCGCGGCTGCATTGCTTTTATATCGTAACAGTCACAACATCACACGCATGACATCTCACGCCCCTCGCAAGCTAGCGCTTAAATGTTCCCCTATGAAAAATGACACCACGTGACACTGGCTTAGATGACTTCAGAACAGGAATGGAGAAATTCTTTTTTTATTAAGAATAATTTTTTATTAACCGACCAATCACATCAAATCAAACCAAATTACATAAATTCCAAATTACACAGCCGAATTTTAAATTTTTGTTGGGGGTACCCATATTTCAAGTTCCGAAGGGATCCAATCAACTTCTTGCTTCTTACTGCTGTTTTAATGTCCACAAATCTAACCTTATGATGTTCACAGTACTATCCAGTCCTTTCTTATTATTTTTCCACATCTCTTGTTGTTATTTTCATATATTTTTCCTTTCTCTTTGTGACCTCTGATAGTCTCGCAAGCTGGTTAGAACAGTTTGTAATCCTGCGTGGATATTTTTTTTTATCCAGTAGCCATATCCAGACGTTTTCCATATAACATCACTTCCATACATCAAAACAGTCTTAGCGTCATTAATCTTCACCAATCTGCCTCCTTTCTCAAAACCTCTGAGGAGATTCACTAGGAATGCAGTCTGAAAACAAACCCATTCTTCCTCCCGGCTATAAATCCTTTGGCAAGATGGCGACTCCGAATTAATTGCTGCGCCATTCCCAAAAGCTCTTATTGCTTCTCGGTCTCCATAAAGCATACTTTTGGTTAAAGTTTATCTCCACACAGACCTTAATCATCCTGCTTGGGTCAGTTCAACCAACGGTTCTAATGAGGAGGGGTTCTTGTAAATCACATAGAAGGAAAGTAAAAAAGGTGTCCCCCCCCCATTCAGCCCCGTTGTCAACATACCCCGCCTTTGGTGTATCTTCATAGTAAAATATTCCTGTTTCTCCAGCCCGTCGTCTTCTTTTGCAGAGGTCACTTAAATTAGCAGACTTAAATTCACTTAAATTAGCAGACTTCACTCCCCTTCTTCACTTGAAATATGTGCATTTGCTTCTTTTGTAATTAATTATTCCAGATTGCTGCAACTAGTGCACGATCAGAGACAGCGTCCAGGAGAGCCGATGTCCACACGGGGGCATTCTGCCTAGGGCCCTCACCCCCTTCTTTCGAATTAGGTGGTGATTTATGGGCACAGCAGGCAAGGACAGTGTTCCCCATTTCCTTGGGGCAACAAGGGAGGCTGCCTATTCCCATAACAGCCTCTTAATTACCCCGTGTGGGTCGAAGAGATGGTATTGTCGGCCATCTTCCAATGCGCCCCCTAGTGGCCCCCCAGGAATGGAGAAATTCTATGATTCTATGAAGGTGCTGGTGGAGAGGCGTGATTGTGGCGACTCAGTGGCACCTCCATGTGTAGAGGCAGTCTACCTCTGCATGCCATTTGCTTTGGAGAGCGACAGTGGGAGTGAGCTGTTGGCTTTGTGTGCTGCCTGAGGGCATCCTGGAGGCACCTGCTGGGCCTGATGGGCTCACCTTGTCTTAAAATAATAATAATAATAATAATAATAATAATAATAATAATAATAATAAATAATGGATCTGCTTCTGCAGCCCTGGTACCATAGCTGTCAACCTTCCCTTTTTTTGTGGGAAATTCCCTTATTCCAGCGCCGTTTCCCGCTGCTATCCCGGATTGTTAGATATCCCGTAGACTGTCCCCGGGACAGGTGAGGCTGCTGATCCCTTATTTTCAAATCTGAAAGTTGACAGCTATGCCTGGCACTGCCCACACTCTTAAGGGCTCCAGCCATTGCTATCTCTTTGAGCGATGTCTCTAGCCAATGTCTTCTCTCCTCCCCCCATAGGGATTTCCTTGTCTCAAGGGGAGAAATGGAAGGTCTTGCGCCGTTTTACGATACACACGCTGCGCAATTTTGGGATGGGGAAGCACAGCATTGAGGAACGGATCCAGGAGGAGGCCCAGTACCTGGTGCAAGAGCTGGCAAAGACCAAAGGTGCGTTTGCCGTTCCTTGGGGCAGGTGGGGTTGGGCGGGGCCACACACACCTGCGAAGTTCTGGCCTTTCCACCTGTCCCTTTTGCAGGAGAGCCCTCTGACCTCACCCTCACCCTCGGCCATGCCGTCTCCAACGTCATCTGCTCCATCGTTTTCGGGGACCGGTTTGACTACGAGGACAAGAAATTCCTGACTTTGGTGGGACTGATGAATGACAACTTCCGCATCTTCAGCTCGCCTTGTGCCCAGGTGAGTCCCGATCTCTTGGGAAGGCAGAAAGCCAGGCGAGCCTGGCAGCTGGATCAGGCCCAAGGGGTCCCCTCTAGCCTGGCGTCCCCACAGTGGCCAGCTGGGTGCACCGAGGGGAAGAAGTCCACAAGCAGGACTTGAGTGCGAGAGCCTAATTTTTCCACTTGCAATATCCAGATAGTGGCATTCAGAGGCAGACAGAGGCGGGTGAACATAGCCATTATGGCAAGGAACCCTTGATATTTCTTCTTCCTTTCTTCCTTTCTTCCTTTCTTCCTTTCTTTGGCGATCACTCGTAGCCAAGTATACACACCAGTGAATCTTGTTGTCTGGTTCTGTTTATCATAAATATTCAAAGCTTGCAATGCAGAACCTTGTGTATTTTCTCAGCAAAGTGGAAGCAAGTCTCTTCTGAAGGAATGGTGTTTCTCGGTTCATTTATTCATTTCTCAAAAACATCTCTGCTTCCCCATTTTGACATGCCTGGGGATTTTGTTTTGAAGCTGGATTGTGGAAGGGAGACTCTCCCTGAAACACTTGCCCTCTCGCACAAGCGAGTACTTGCAGGGTCGGGGCCTTTCATCTTTCATCTTCTCCTCCCTCCCTAGTTGTACAACACTTTCCCCCACATCCTGCGCTACCTGCCCGGACCTCACAAGCAACTTTTCGCCAATTTTGAGAAGTTGCGCCTCTTCATTCTGGAGATAGTCAAGGAGCACCAGGCGACCTTCGACCCCAGCTGCCCTCGCGACTTCATCGATAGCTTCCTGCTCAAAATGCAAGAGGTGAGCCCTTGGGCTCTGGGGGGGTGGAGGAGGGGCTAAATCCTTGTCTACGTGCTTCTTCTCACCTGGGGCCGGCAGGGAAAGGGCAGAGGGGGCGTTCCTGGCTGGGGGCATCAGGGCAGCTTCCTGGTAGCTTCATCAAGGGCGAGGGTGTGTTCTGCCATGGACACTGGAGGCCTTGCCTTGCTGCCTGTTTGCTCACCTTGGAGATAATCTCCCCGTCTTTTGGTGGAGGCCAAGACAGGGGCGGGTGTGGGGTAACCTGAGCCCCGTCCCAGGTAAGCCCTGGATTTGGGACATGTCCAAAAAGGGGTGGGTGTGTTGTGCAGCACCATTTGCAAAGCTCAGGTGCCACACCAGCCCTGAAATCCCTCTCTTGGGAAGGACGAACAACAAGTAGGATCAATGTAATATCCAAGAGATGCAAATCTCCAAAGAAAATAAACCCTTAATGATGAGTGAAAAGCGTATTACAGCTGCAAAGATTAAAAGGCAACAAACAAACAAAGAAGCAGAGCCTGGCTTCTTTAGCCCCCTTCTTTAGCAGACGCCCGAAAGGGGAGCCCCCAAGCAGGATCCGACCACAAGAGCCTCTCCCCTCCTGGGGTTTCCAGCAACTGAGATTCTGTAGCTTTGCTGCCTCCAACTGCGGAAACAGAGCAGAGCCGTCCTGGCTAGCAGCCACTCACAGCCCTCTCTTCCTCCATCAATTTGTCCAGTCCTCTTTTAATGCCACGCAAGTTGCTGGCCATCATTGCCTCCTGTGGCAGGCAGTTCCACAGTTCAACTGTGTGCCACAACCTCTGCAAACTATCGCTTCAGAGGAATGTGTGTAACTCAGAAAGCCTTAGGCAAACTGAGATGAATAGCTTCCTTTGCAACACCACATTCTTGCGCAATGTGTTTATTTAAAATGTTTGAATACTGCCTTCTGTTAAATCCTCAAGGCAATACAAGACTGCAAACAAGATGAATTTTAACAGGGAGAAATGTAAAGTATTGCACTTGGGCAAAAAAAATGAGAGGCACAAATACAAGATGGGTGACACCTGGCTTGAGAGCAGTACATGTGAAAAGGATCTAGGAGTCTTGGTTGACCACAAACTTGACATAAGCCAACAGTGTGACGCGGCAGCTAAAAAAGCCAATGCAATTCTGGGCTGCATCAATAGGAGTATAGCATCTAGATCAAGGGAAGTAATAGTGCCACTGTATTCTGCTCTGGTCAGACCTCACCTGAAGTACTGTGTCCAGTTCTGGGCACCACAGTTCAAGAAGGACACTGACAAACTGGAACGTGTCCAGAGGAGGGCAACCAAAATGGTCAAAGGCCTGGAAATGATGCCTTATGAGGAACGGCTAAGGGAGCTGGGCATGTTTAGCCTGGAGAAGAGGAGGTTAAGGGGTGATATGATAGCCATGTTCAATATATAAAAGGATGTCACATAGAGGAGGGAGAAAGGTTGTTTTCTGCTGCTCCAGAGAAGCGGACACGGAGCAATGGATCCAAACTACAAGAAAGAAGAGTCCACCTAAACATTAGGAAGAACTTCCTGACAATAAGAGCTGCTCGACAGTGGAATTTGCTGCCAAGGAGTGTGGTGGAGTCTCCTTCTTTGGAGGTCTTTAAGCAGAGGCTTGACAACCATATGTCAGGAGTGCTCTGATGGTGTTTCCTGCTTGGCAGGGGGTTGGACTCGATGGCCCTTGTGGTCTCTTCCAACTCTATGATTCTATGATTCTATGCTAGATAAGACAAGACAAGCAAAAAATTAAAATCCAGTTTATTTAACTATGACCAAACAATTATCAATGCCCTTGGTGCCCCTGACCAGCAAAGGCCCTGGGGTGTGTGAATAAATACGCTTTCATAAAGTGTCAAAAGTTAGACACCGCTGGCACTTGTTTTCGTTAGACAGCTCACATATCTTTCAAGCTCATTTGCCAGGTATTATAGATCACAAACAAATGAGCGGTGCCTCCTGTCAAGTAAGTAGAATATTTACTTTTTAAAGTCTGGAATGTTTTGTGTGTGTTTGTTTGTTGCTAAATCAGCCTTAATCGTGCAACCTAAATTGGCTAAATCAGCTTTAATTGTGCAACCCAAATTTGCTGGTCTGTGACTTCCTCCCTCTTGGAAACAGCGAGGCTCCCTCCATTGCATAGCTGTCAACTTACAGATTTGAAAATAAGGGACCAGCAGCCAAAATAGGGGACCTGCAGCCTCCCCTGTTCCAGGCACTCCAGTCTTCCTGTCCTCCTGCAGTCTGGTCAAACTCATGCTGGTAGCTTCAAGAACACTGTTCAACCAACTTTGTAACCAGGGGTTCAACTGAATAGAATCTGAATCACATGCACCACAAGGCCTATGCAGCCTCAACTTAAGATGGCTCCCCAGCCTGGCTTTGCACTGCAAAGTTTGCAGCAGCACATGCAACAAAATGGCGTCCAGCATTCAAAAACCTCCTCAGCTTGCATTAACTAGCCACACACAAGGCATGCAAGCTCCACGCCCCAGTCGTTCTTAAACTTCTTATTGGGTGAGCAACACAGCCAAGCAACACAGTTGGAACCTCCCTCCTCCCTGGCCGGCAGGGAGGGAGAGGAGCTGCTTCCTTTGAAATTTAAGGGACATCATTTAAGGGACATTTAAGGGACATCCATCAATAAGGGACAGCAGCGGGACATGGCACTGGAATAAGGGACTGTCCCTTCAAATAAGGGACACTTGACAGCTATGCTCCATTGCGGTCCATCCAACCTTCCTCTCCGAGGCATCCTAAGAGGGAGAGGAACAGCCAGCAATGAAGGCAAGACGGCCAGATTATGCCAGCTGCCAACCTATAATAATAATAATAATAATTTTTATTTATACCTTGCCCTACCCAGCCAAGACCCGGCTCAGGGCGGCTTACAATCAATAATAAAATGTTGCCTTGGCTGTTACTCTACCCTGCGCCTCCATGGAAAGGGAGGCGTCAAGGATTACACCCAGACTCTTAACGGAAGGCAATGGCACTAATTAGGCCCCCTTAAGAGAAGGGAGTTGGTTCCTCATCCCCTTGCCATTCCGACCCAGCCAGAGGACCTCTGTCTTCGAAGGATTTAGTTTCAATCGACTCCCACGAAACCATCCAGCCACAGCTTCCAAGCATCTGGTCAGTGTGTCCAGGGCCTCATCGGTATGGCCATCCATCAGCAGATAGAGCTGAGTGTCATCAGCATATTGGTGACAACCCAGCCCAAAGCTCCGGACAATCTGGGCAAGGGGGCGCATAAAGATCTAGCAGATTGAGTTTAATAGGAGTTTCCTGCCATGGAGGAGGAAACACCTCCAGGGTCCAAAGCCCCGGCGATTATATTTCACAGGAAATACATGCAAGTCTAGCAGGGCGAGGTCCCAACTCGATTGGTGAGGTCACAGAGAGCTGAAAAACACCCCGCGCCTTGTCCCTTTGTGTAAGACTCATGCCCCGGGCATCTCCACCTCTCTCCGCAGGAAAAGAAGGACCCCCTCAGCCACTTCCACACCAACACGCTTGTCATGACCACCCACAACCTTTTCTTCGGGGGAACGGAGTCCGTCAGCACCACCCTTCGCTACGGGGTCCTCATCCTCATGAAGCACCCGGAGGTCGCAGGTGAGCTGGGAAGGTCCCACGGTTGCGTTGATCGTTGATGTCCATTGACCATGTTCACACCCCACCTTCTTTCAAGGTGGATGGGCACACGGTTGTCTTCCTCCCCAATTTATCCTCACAACAACCCTGTGAGGTAGACTAGTGTGCTGGGTCCGGGGGTAACCCGTGAAACACGGTCCAGGACCGGTCCAGAATCCGAAGGTTCCGCTAGGAGTCAGTCCGACAGGGCCAAGGCAGGAAACCAGGCAAGGACAGGTACAGGATCTCAGGCAGGATCTGGCAAGACAGCAATGTTGCTCCCGCAACCTGGGGCGGGGTCCGACAGCCTTTTATCTTTGTCGGGGTAGTGGCCGGTCCTGATCCCCCAGTGACTCGCCTCCCTGTTTCGCCCAAAGGCGAACACTCCTCCTGCGAGTACAGTGGTACCTCGGGTTACATAAACTTCAGGTTACAGATGCTTCGGGTTACAGACTCCGCTAACCCAGAAATATTACCTCGGGTTAAGAACTTTGCTTCAGGATGAGAACAGAAATTGTTCTCTGGTGGCGCGGCGGCAGCAGGAGGCCCCATTAGCTAAAGTGGTGTTTCAGTTTAAGAACAGTTTCAGGTTAAGAATGGACCTCCAGAACGAATTAAGTACTTAACCCGACGTACCACTGTACTCAGCGTCTCTCCTTCTCTCAGACCTCAGTCTCTGCAGCTCGTGAGACGTCCGTGGGTTACTAGACCCAGAGGCCGCCTCAGCCTCCACTGACCGAACCAGTAGTGGAGCAGCTGTAAGCGATGGCCCAGCTGGAGGCAACGAGGGAATCCCCATATCTGGAGCCAGGGCAGGCTCAGGCCCCTGACTCGGCCCAGCTGGTGGGACTATTCAGGATCAGGCCCCAGACTTGGTTTAGGTGATGCCTGAGGGAAAGGATCCGGTGCGGACTGAGTCTCCTCTGGTTCCGAGTCCGAGTCCCAGGCCATCACAGCTAGGCTGAGAGGCGGTGACTGGCAGCCAAGGTCACCCAGGAAAGGGGTGGGAATTTGAACCTTGGTCTCTCCCAGGTCCTAGTCCAACACTTGAACCATTATGCCACGCTGCCTATCACATGCCACATGCATGATGCTGATAATATACATACACATAAGCCTAACTCGACACGCACACAGTGTTAGGTTTTCTAAGATCTCAAGTGCTGTATGGAAGTGAGAGCTGGACCATAAAGAAGGCTGATCACTGAAGAATGGATGCTTTTGAATTATGGTGCTGGAGGAGACTCTTGAGAGTCCCATGGACTGCAAGAAGATCAAACCTCTCCATTCTGAAGGAAATCAGCCCTGAGTGCTCACTGGAAGGACAGATCCCGAAGCTGAGACTCCAATACTTTGGCCACCTCATGAGAAGAGAAGACTCCATGGAAAAGATCCTAATGTTGAGAAAGATTGAGAGCACAAGGGGACGACAGAAGACGAGATGGTTGGACAGTGTTCTCGAAGCTACCAGCATGAGTTTGACCAAACTGCGGGAGGCAGTGGAAGACAGGAGTGCCTGGCGTGCTCTGGTCCAGGGGGTCACAAAGAGTCGGACACGACTAAACGACTAAACAACAACAACAAAGATCTCAAGGCCCAGAGATGCCTTTTCCATCACCATCTGCTACCCAAATTGAATTGGGATCCTGAGCCCAGGAAGCAGATGCCCTCTGCCACCATGCAAACACACTGGAACCTGCCTTCATCATCATCATCATTTTTTATTTGTATGCCGCCTTCCCACAGTTAAAAAAAATCCTCAAGGCGGCTTACAACATGACAAGATTTACACAATTACAAAAGTCCTAAACAATACATAAACCACATCAAAAAATACACAACCAAATGGAAAACCATTTCCACATAAATTAAAATCTAAAACTAAGAATAAAGCATTAATATCGCAGTTTAAAATGACATAGGTAAAAAATAACAGCAATTTAACCAAAAAACAAAAACAAAACTGAGCCCTCTCTGCCAAGCAGCGGTGGCGGCAGCGATCCTTTATAGAGCCCATTATAGAGCCCTAGGCCAGGTGGTGAGTGGTAGGACTGGGGCTCTCAGGCACTGAGCAGGGGAGCCTTACGATGAGCCGGACAATGGGTCCATCTCTCTCAGTGTCGCTGACACCGATTTGATGGATTTGATGAATTATGTTTCTGTGCTGCTTTTCATTCAAATGAATCCTACTAAAGCAGCTTGTTGTTGTTGTTTAGTCATTTAGTCGTGTCCGACTCTTCGTGACCCCATGGACCAGAGCACGCCAGGCACTCCTGTCTTCCACTGCCTCCCACAGTTTGGTCAGACTCATGTTTGTAGCTTCGAGAACACTGTCCAACCATCTCGTCCTCTGTCGTCCCCTTCTCCTTGTGCCCTCTATCTTTCCCAACATCAGGGTCTTTTCCAGGGAGTCTTCTCTTCTCATGAGGTGGCCAAAGTCTTGGAGCCTCAGCTTCAGGATCTGTCCTTCCAGTGAGCACTCAGGGCTGATTTCCTTCAGAATGGATAGGTTTGATCTTCTTGTAGTCCATGGGACTCTCAAGAGTCTCCTCCAGCACCATAATTCAAAAGCATCCATTCTTCGGCGATCAGCCTTCTTTATGGTCCAGCTCTCACTTCCATACATCACTACTGGGAAGACCATGGCTTTAACTATACGGACCTTTGTTGGCAAGGTGATGTCTCTGCTTTTTAAGACGCTGTCCAGGTTTGCCATCGCCTTTCTCCCAAGGAGCAGGCGTCTTTTAATTTCGTGACTGCTGTCACCATCTGCAGTGATCATGGAGCCCAAGAAAGTAAAATCTCTCACTGCCTCCATTTCTTCCCCTTCTATTTGCCAGGAGGTGATGGGCCCAGTGGCCATGATCTTTGTTTTTTGATGTTGAGCTTCAGACCATATTTTGCGCTCTCCTCTTTCACCCTCATTAAAAGGTTCTTTAATTCCTCCTCACTTTCTGCCATCAAGGTTGTGTCATCTGCATATCTGAGGTTATTGATATTTCTTCCGGCGATCTTAATTCCGGCTTGGGATTCATCCAGCCCAGCCTTTCGCATGATGAATTCTGCATATAAGTTAAATAAGCAGGGAGACAATATACAGCCTTGCCGCACTCCTTTCCCAATTTTGAACCAATCAGTTGTTCCATATCCAGTTCTAACTGTAGCTTCTTGTCCCACATAGAGATTTCTCAGGAGACAGATGAGGTGATCAGGCACTCCCATTTCTTTAAGAACTTTCCATAGTTTGCTGTGGTCGACACAGTCAAAGGCTTTTGCATAGTCAATGAAGCAGAAGTAGAAGTCTTTCTGGAACTCTCTAGCTTTCTCCATAATCCAGCGCATGTTTGCAATTTGGTCTCTGGTTCCTCTGCCTCTTCTAAATCCAGATTGCACTTCTGGGAGTTCTCGGTCCACATACTGCTTAAGCCTGCCTTGTAGAATTTTAAGCATAAACTTGCTAGCGTGTGAAATGAGTGCAATTGTGCGGTAGTTGGAGCATTCTTTGGCACTGCCCTTCTTTGGGATTGGGATATATACTGATCTTCTCCAATCCTCTGGCCACTGCTGAGTTTTCCAAATTTGCTGGCATATTGAGTGTAGCACCTTAACAGCATCATCTTTTAAAATTTTAAATAGTTCAGCTGGAATATCATCACTTCCACTGGCCTTGTTATTAGCAGTGCTTTCTAAAGCAGCTTACAAGCAATAAATATCAGTAACACGACAGGACATAATAGAACATCACAAATACAGCATAAATCATATAAAATAATGAACAAACCATTGGTGAAACAGTTGCTATCTTAACAAAGGGGAGGTATTGGGTTGTTTTCATTTTCATTATGTATTTCGTGTTTTTATATTGTGATTTTATCCTGTGGACCTCCCTGAGACCTGTAGGTAGAGGGCAGTATACAAATGAAATTGATGATAATGATAATGATGATAATATCAACAACAACAATAATGAAGATGATGCAACAGTAGAGCTAGGGAAGCTTCAGGTAAGTTGGCAGTGGCAGCCCCAATTGAGTCTTCAGTTTTATGGTTAAGCTTTACTGTTTTACAGCTTGGTTTTAGTGTTACTTTTGCCAATGCCATTGCCTTCATTGCAACTCAACGGTTTATGGCTTAACATTTCACTGCCAATTCCAGATGCGCAAGTTATAAATATATTATTATTATTATTATGTCCGCAGCCAAGGTCCAAGAAGAGATCAGCAAGGTCATTGGTCCTCACCGCAACCCATCGACTGAGGACCGGGTGAAGATGCCATACACGGACGCCGTGATCCACGAGATCCAGAGATTCGTTGATCTCATCCCCCTGGGGGTCCCCCATGCTGTGACCAAGGACACTCACTTCCGTGGCTTTGTGCTCCCAAAGGTGCTTGGGAATAAAAAATCCCCCCTTCCCAAGGGATGGGAAGTTTATCTTTGGGCTGCTGATGGTGGGATGGGGAACAAACGCTTTCTGATTGGTTCTGGCTGTGTTCACGCAAAGTCCGACATCCTTCTGTTCCTGTCTCAGGTCACGGTTGTGGCTTGGAGACGGTTCTGCATGACGCTGCTGTTTCATGGGAGGATGAGGAGAAACCCCCCCTTTCTAAAGAAAGTGCTCTCGTTTTGAACTCTGTTTCCCATCTTGAGTAGGGTGAAATTCTGAGCCTTTGTGGCACTCCAGGGTAGCTCCTGGAGAGAAAGGCCTCTCCTCTAGAGAAAGGCGGTGGAGAACTCTGGTAGCAGCAGCAGCAGGGGTAGTACAGTATATGTGAAGGAAATAAGCAGCTATCTTATCTTTAAAAGACATCTGAAGACAGCCCTGTTTAGGGAAGTTTTTAATAATTAATGCTGTACTGTTTTTAACATTTGATTGGGAGCTGCCTAGAGTGGCTGGGGAAACTCAGCCAGATGGGCGGGGTATAAATAATAAATTAAGAACGTAAGAACAGGCTGGTTGGATCAGCATTACCCTCCAACATTTCTCTGATGAAAATAGGGACGTCCCATTCCATACTAATAATTTTACTATTTATACTCCAAGCATCTGATTGGGTTGCCCCAGATATAAAAACATAAAACATGAAACATTTAAAAAACTTCCCTATACAGGATTGCCTTCAGATGGCTTGGGGGTTGGATAACTCCATACCTTCCGACGGAAATAGGGACATCCTAAGGAAAAGTGGGACATTCCGGGATCAAATCAGAAACTGGGATGGCCTCTCTAAATCAGGGACGTCCCTAGAAAATAGGGACACTTGGAGGGTCTGGATCAGGCCAGTGGCTCTCACAGTGGCAACCAGATGTCTGATATGGGAAAACCAGCAACGGATTTTCAGAAGCATTTTCCAGCTCTGTAGTCCTTTTCAGGGGAGGCGACCAGAGCAGCAGTCAAAGTGGTATGAGGGTGCTCTCAGCGCCTGGCATGGCCCTACAAGGATGGGAGCCCACATTCTGGGGCGTTTCTGGCCTCGCCAACTTGCTTCTCCCCTTTACCCCCAACAGGGCACCAACATCATGCCTCTTCTTCACTCTGTCCACAAAGATCCCACCCAGTTCAAGAACCCGGAAGCTTTTGACCCTACCCACTTCCTGGACGAGAAAGGCGGCTTCCGCCGAAGCGATGCCTTCATGCCCTTTTCTGCTGGTGAGTTCCTAGTGGGGGGTGGCAAGATAGGCAATGGGGAGCGGGGAGGTGTAAGGAATGGGCCCTCGTATTGCCCCCCTGGATTGTGTTGTAGACAAAAACTGCCCTTTTCCCCTTATGGGGTATCCAAGAGCCTGTTAGAATTCCTGCTCCGTGATGGCTGGCTTCAGGAGTTGCTCACCGCTGTGGCACCCACCATTTTGCCTCGCCAGAAGTCCCCATATGATGTGTCTTGTGCCGTTGAACCCATCACGCAACATTCATTCCCTACTAATAAATCTACAACACTTCAAATATAAATCCGGGACATTAAATGAAATCTGGGGACATTCCGGGGACGGATTTTGTCTGGGGACAGATTTGTAAATCCGGGGACTGTCCCTGGGAAACGGGGACATCTGGTAACCATACTCCAACATTTCTCTAATGAAAGTAGGGACGTCCCATTCCATAATGATAATCTCACTATTTATACCCCACACATCTTACTGGGTTGCCCCAGCCACCCTGGGCGGCATCACAACAACTTTCTAGTGCTGCCCAAACAGGGTGAAATCTGGAAGAGAAGGGTGAGTCCGTTTAATCCGAGAAGAGGTATTACCTTGAGCAATTCGGGTTGAGCAACAGAATCTTCTGGGCCAAGAAATGCGATACGGGCCTATTGTTAAAGATTAATGAAATCCAGGGACATTCTGGAGATGGAATTTGTCCAGGGACATATTTGTAAATCCGGGGACTGTCCCCAGAAAACGGGGACGTCTGGTAACCATACGCTAGAGAGCAGTTTATGTATAGAAATTTAGATGCTGAAACTCTTGCTCATGAATGCAAAGCCTCGAAGGAACTGCTGACTGGTTTGTTTGTTTTGTCCCCTCAGGGAAACGCTTGTGCCTGGGTGAAGGTTTGGCGCGCATGGAGCTGTTCCTGTATCTCACCAAACTCCTCCAGCGCTTCACCTTCCAGCCCACCTGCCCCCGCGAGGAGCTGGACCTCTCGCCCCTGTCCAGCGGCACAGGGAACGTCCCTCGCCCCTACAGATGCCGCATTGTCCCCCGCTGAGCTGCCCCTCTTGCCGCTTGCCCCCCCATTCTCCCCAGAACAGCCTTCCCCGGCGGGGTGAGGCTCTCCCAGTGTTTCTGGGGGCGCCACCTTGGGGAAGGCACGGCCCTCCTTGCCAACCGTAGCCCAGGTGGCTTTCTTTACCTATAGCTGGAACGTGGCTGGATCTTTGGCAGGGGGGTGGGGAGGGCTGGGCATTTTCTTAGCACCATGCAAGATGCAGAAGCAGGGCTCTGAATGTGCCCACCCCCCTGCAGGAAAAGAGAGACTTGGACTAGATGCTCCATTGACCTGACTCAGTGGCAGGCAGTTCCAGGGGTGCCTATGCAGCTTTGCATGCCTGAGGTGGGGCAGGCACAAGTCGGGGCGTGAGCGGCTTTCATTTTCAAAATGGTGGGGTTAATCTGGTGCAGGCCCGCATTACACACCCCAGCTTGCCAGGAGCTCACCCAGGCAGCGACATTTTAAAGGGACCTTGCCAATCTTGAGAAAAGCACCCCAAAACACTCTGTAACGTGACAACGGCTCCCGGGACCCTCTGCCCAAATACTGCTTTGGGGTACGAATTCCTTCCCTCAGAGAGCCTTTATTGCTTTCTGGAAACTGCAGACTGGGATCGTGCCCAGATTCCCCTTGCTCCTCCACATTCTTGCCCTGCCCAGCAGAAATATTAGGTCGGGTAATCTCAGGTGTGCTCTTTCTCAAGATGTCGGTGTAAGCATTTACTAATAAAGGACTCCCTCCCTCCAAGGGCTGAGAGCTGGGTTGGTCCTTGCAATTGCCTCCTCCAGGCCGAGACGGGCATGTCTTCAGCAGCAGGAGGGCTGTGGCAGGAGCGCAGGAGCTCACCAGCAGGAAAGTGCAGGTTTTGCTCCCAGATGACCTGCTGGTTTGGTGTTTGCTGACCCAGCGATGGGCTGGTGGCGACATTTGGTGCTGTGCCTTATAAGGGGCCAGCCAGTGCTGTAGCATGGAGGTGGGGCACAGGGGCGGTTGCCCCGGGCGCAGAATGGTTAGCGGCTGCAAAATTCCAACACCCAGCAATGCCTCAATACAGCTGCGCTCTTCCTTCCCTGTTCTCAGTTGAAACAGCTTCTCCATGCGGGCATGGAAGTGGCCTCTCCAGACAACGACTCTTCTTTTCTTACCTTTGTGGCTGCAATCTCCTGGGCGACTCGGACACTGTTAGGCGGTTGAATGCGTGGTCCCAGGCACTGGCAACCCACGCTATGCCACTGGAACCGGCTTCTGCCAGCCGTGGACCAACTCCCTTTCTGCATCTTGGTATTCAGAGCACTTCCAGGTGGCCTGTTTGTGGAACACTCATTCTGATTTTTGGGCAGGGGGCGGGGTTAGATGCTGTTAAGGACACAAGAATGTAAAGACGTAAGGAGAGGCTGCTGGGTTGGGCCATTTAGTCCAGCCACCTCTTCTTGCAGTGACCTGGGAATCTTGATAGACTGCCTCTGCAACTGGAGGTTCCATAACAAGACCCTGGCCGCTGGATCAGGCCAATTGCACCGTGAATTTGTCCCATCCTATTTTAAAGACATCTAAACTGGTGGCCATCTAAATTGGTGGCTAAGGGACGTGGGTGGTGCTGTGGGTTAAACCACAGAGCCTAGGACTTGCCAATCAGAAGGTCGGCGGTTCGAATCCCTGTGACGGGGTGAGCTCCCATTACTCGGTCCCTGCTCCTGCCAACCTAGCAGTTCGAAAGCACATCAAAGTGCAAGTAGATAAATAGGTACTGCTCTGGCGGGAAGGTAAACGGCTTTTCCATGCGCTGCTCTGGTTTCGCAAGAAGCGCCCATATGACCCGGAAGCTGTACTCCGGCTCCCGGAAGCTGTATGCCGGCTCCCTCAGCCAATAAAGCGAGATGAGCGCCGCAACCTTTGAAGGTCCGACCATTAGGTCCAGTTGTGACTGACTCTGGGGTTGCGGCACTCATCTCGCTTTATTGGCCGAGGGAGCTGGCGTACAGCTTCCAGGTCATGTGGCCAGCATGACAAAGCCGCTTCTGGCAAACCAGAGCAGCGCATGGAAACGCCGTTTACCTTCCTGCCGGAGTGGTACCTATTTATCTACTTGTGCTTTGATGTGCTTTCGAACTGCTAGGTTGGCACGAGCAGGGACCGAGCAACGGGAGCTCACCCCGTCGCAGGGATTCGAACCGCTGACCTTCTGATTGGCAAGTCCTAGGCTCTGTGGTTTAACCCACAGCGCCACCCACGTCCCTAAAAAAGGTCCCTTTACCTTTACCTTAAACTGGTGGCTATCACAGCCTCCTGTCAGTGGGAGTTCCACAGTTTACCTACGTTGCATCAAAGCAAGGGATATTCCACACTTCCCAGTGGATTTCCCCGTCTCTTTCCTTACGGCAAAAAGTCAGGTCTTCGCAGGGAAGAGGGGTTTGTGGCGCAAGACCCCTGTAAACATTGCCTCACCTGAATCTGCTGGCATGTGACTGAATCCCAACCCACAACAGTTGTGGCATCTGGAAGCAGCCTTAGTTTCACCTGGGACTGAAATGGCTGAGTCATTTTCAAGCAACCCTTTGCAGAGCAAATATTTTATTTGTAAAAAAACCCAAGTGCCATGACAACCTGGCCTTTCGTGGTTGTGTAGGGCGTAGATGAGATAACTGAGATGTTGACATTCTCAGCTGAGGCCTTGGAGGGTGGGCAAGTTTCATAGCTGTCAACTTACAGATTTGAAAATAAGGGACCAGCAGCCTCGAAAATAAGGGATCAGCAGCCAAAATAAGGGATTTTCAGAGCACAGGTATGTTCAGCTTCTGAGCCCCTCCGAGCCAAAGGCAGAAAGCCCAGCCAGCAGCCAAACGAAGCCTCAAGCGGTGGTTCCCACAGCGCAGCAACCCGGCAAAGGGGATGCAGCAAGGAAAACCACCGTCACCTCTCCACTGGGAAGCGCTGAGCAAAGGCGAGTCCCCAGGCAAGGCGGCTGATTTGATCGGCACAAGGCATGCAAGCTCCACCCCCCAGTCATTCTGAGACTCCTTATTGGGTGAGCAACGCAGCCAAGCAACACAGTTGGAGCCTCCCTCCTCCCTGGCCGGCAGGGAGGGAGGGAGAGGAGCTGCTTCCTTTGAAACCCGGGAAATTTAAGGGACATCATCAATAAGGGACAGCAGCAGGATGCAGCGCTGGGATAAGGGACTTTCCTGCCAAATAAGGGACAGTTGACAGCTATGGCAAGTTTATTGACCTCAATGTTGTTCCCGGAGTGTTGGTCAGGGAGAACAGATGACAGACTGCAGAGTGACTGCAGGACAACAGACCGCAGCAACAGGTAAGAGGGTGGAGAGAGAGAGAGAGAGAGATGAGAAAAGAGATAGATGAAAGAGAGGGAGAGGGAGGGAGAGGCCCCTGCATAATGGATTGCCACAGCCATTCAGAAAAAAAACCAAAGTTTGCTGTTTGACAGTAGAACAGACTCCCTCAGAAGGTGATGGCTCTTCTTCCGTGGAGGTATCTAAGCAGAGGTTGGATGGTCCTCTGTCATGGATGCTTTAGTTGAGGTTCCTGCCTTACAGGGGGTTGGACTAGATGACCCTCGGGGTCCCTTCCGACTCTACACTTCCATGATTCTATGTCTGGCTGCAGGGGGGCGGGCGAGCAGCCTGGCCTTCGAGCGCAGTGTCCTTTTACCGGGCGATGAGGCAGAACTGGTAGGGCCGAGGGATGCTTCCCAGCCCCGTGGACTCGGGTGTGATGTCAATGTCCTCGGGTTTCATCAAGGGCTTCAGCTTGAAGTTCTGCAGGATGGTGGTGAGGAAGATGAAGAGCTCCATGACAGCCAAGCTTTCTCCCAGGCACACCCGCTTCCCTGCAAAAGTGAGAAGGAAGAGGGACAGAAATGCCTCTGTGCCTTTGAGGGTCAGGCAAAGGAGGCTCTAATTTCTCCCTCCTCGCTCGAAGCATGTCCAAAACTTAAATCCATTTTTTTCATCTTAAGAAATGGAAGTTGATTCGCTCGCTGAGACAGCATCCAGGAGAGCCAGGCTGTCTCGGGGGCTTTCCATCCAGTGCCCCCAGCCCCTCCTTCCTTCCGAATTTGGGGCTGGTTTGTTGGGCATCCACGGATGAGACTGTGTCTTACCATACCCCTGGGAAGATTTTGGGAGGCTGATTATTCCCATCTCAGCCTCTAATTGCCCCATGGGAGCCGGAGCGATGGAATTTTCAGCCATCGTTCGTGGCGCCTCAAGTGGAAGTTGCTCTGACATCATTTGAAGGTGGGCTTAGGGATGGAGTCCCCAGGTTGCCCACAGTGGAGCAGACCTTCGTAGGGAATAGAGGACCCTTTGGATCCCTGACCATTAGGTCCAGTCGTGAACCGACTCTGGGGTTGTGGCGCTCATCTCGCTTTATTGGCCAAGAGAGCCGGCGTACAGCTTCTGGGTCATGTGGCCAGCATGACTAAGCCACATCTGGCGAACCAGAGCAGCACACGGAAACACCATTTACCTTCCTGCTGGAGTGGTACCTATTTATCTACTTGCACTTTGACGTGCTTTCGAACTGCTAGGTTGGCGGGAGCAGGGACCGAACAATGGGAGCTCACCCCGTCGCGGGGAATTCGAACCACCGACCTTCTGATCGGCAAGTCCTAGGCTCTGTGGTTTAACCCACAGCATCACCCGCATGGTATTTAAATCCCTCCCGCCCTTTCACTTATGGAGACCCAAGGGGAGATGTCTGCAAGCAGGATTCAACCCAGTGGCTGAGTATACACTGCAGCAGAATTATTATTATTATTATTATTATTATTATTATTATTATTATTATTAATTCATTTTATACACTACCCTTCATCAAAAGATCCCAGGGCGGTGTACAACATTGAAAACACATTTCAAAACACCCATGATAAAAACATAATAAAAACATAGTAAAATGCTTACTGACAGACAGCCTAATAATGAAATAATCATCATCACAACAGTCCTCTCTTGCACACTTTTACAGACCATCAATTACTTAATAGCCATAAAAAGGTAAAGGTAAAGGGACCCTGACTATTAGGTCCAGTCGTGGCCGACTCTGGGGTTGCGGCGCTCATCTCGCTTTATTGGCCGAGGGAGCCGGCGTACAGCTTCCGGGTCATGTGGCCGGCATGACTAAGCCGCTTCTGGCGAACCAGAGCAGCGCATGGAAACGCCGTTTACCTTCCCACCGGAGCGGTACCTATTTATCTACTTGCACTTTGATGTGCTTTCGAACTGCTAGGTTGGCAGGAGCAGGGACCGAGCAACAGGAGCTCACCCCGTCGTGGGGATTCGAACCACCGACCTTCTGATCGGCAAGTCCTAGGCTCTGTGGTTTAACCCACAGCGCCACCCGTGTCCCGCCTTAATAGCCATAGGCCTGGGTAAAGAGACTGTTTTCGCCTGGAGCCAGGCGAGCCTCTCCGGGGAGAGCATTCCACAAATGGGGAGCCACCACCGAAAAGGCCCATAAGAAGAGTGGACCAGATGCGGGGCTAGATGTTCCCTTCCAACTCTACAGTTCTGTGATTTCCGAGTGATCTCCCTGGGGAGGTTGTAGATTCTCCTTCCTTGGAGGTTTCAAAGCAGAGGTTGGGTGACCACCTGCCATGGATGCTTGAGTTGGGATTCCTACATTGAATTGAGGTTCCTCCCAATTCTACAGTTCCATGATTCTCAGAGCCTGATGGATCTGGCCAAAGGATGTCCACCTAGCCGGGCATCCTGTTCTCACAGTGGCCACCAAGATGCCCATGATGGGAAACCCACAGGCAGGAGCTGAACCCCTGTCCTGCCCTTACCTGCTGAGAAAGCCATGAAGGCATCGTTCTTCTTGAACCGCCCGCTCTCGTCCAGGAAATGAGTCGGGTCAAAGGAGGTTGGATTCTTGAAGTGCGTGGGATCAAACTGAGATGTGCAGATCAGGGGGATGATGTTGAGGTCCTGTGGGTTGGAGGAAGAGGAGCAGGAGGAAGGCATGGTTGAGAACCAAGGGCAAGAAATCCCTGGTGGACAGGTGTTGAGCAATGGGGGTGGGCCTTAGCTCTAGGAGCACCTGTGCTGCCTGCAGAAGGTCCCAATTGCCATCTCTGGGTAGGAATAGCAGAGCCACTGCTGTCCGCCAATGTGGACAACACTGAAGTAGGTAGACCAGATGGTCCGACTCGCTGTGGCAGTCGCTTTCTGTGTGTGAGCGACGCACCTTCATAATAATAATAATAATAATAATAATAATAATAATTTATTATTTGTACCCAGCCCATCTGGCTGGGTTTCCCCAGCCACTCTGGGCGGCTTCCACAAAGACCAAAAATACACTAATATGTCATACATTAAAAACTTCCCTGAACAGGGCTGCCTTAAGATGTCTTCTGAATGTCAGGTAGTTGTTTATCTCTTTGACATCTGATGGGAGGGCGTTCCACAGGGCAGGTGCCACTACCGAGAAAGCCCTTTGCCTGGTTCCCTGTAGCTTTGCTTCTCGCAATGAAGGAACCGCCAGAAGGCTCAAGGCACTGGACCGCAGCGTCTGGGATGAACGATGGGGGTGGAGACGCTCCTTCAGGTCTACTGGGCCTTTGAGGCCGTTTAGGGCTTTAAAGGTCAACACCAACACTTTGAATTGTGCTCAGAAACATACTGGGAGCCAATGTAGGTCTTTCAAGACCGGTGTTATGTGGTCTCGGCGGCCGCCCCCAGTCACCAGTCTAGCTGCCGCATTCTGGATTAGTTGTAGTTTCCGGGTCACCTTCAAAGGTAGCCCCATGTAGAGCGCATGGCAGTAGTCCAAGCGGGAGATAACTAGAGCATGCACCACTCTGGCGAGACAGTCTGTGGGCAGGTAGGGTCTCAGCCTGCGTACCAGATGGAGCTGGGAGACAGTTTCAGTCGAGGGAAAGCTCTTCTGAGCTTAGCTCGGTGTGGCACAATGGCGAGAGCGGTGGGTTCTGACCCGGGGAACCTGGGTTCGAATCCCCACTCAGTCATGAAGCCTAGTAGTGACCTTGGTTGAGTCAGTCACCATCACTTCGCCTTGACCTGCCTCACAGGGTTGTTGCATGGGTGAAATGCGGAGGGGGAGGAGAAGCCTTTGCACCACCTTGAGCTCTTTGGAAGAAAAGCTGGCATATAAATATCTCAAGGGCTGTCCCGTGGAAGAGGGAAGATGCTTGTCTCCTCCCACTCTGGAGGGTAGGACTCGAACCCACGGCTTCAAGGAGATTCCGACTCAACACATGGAAAAGCTTTCTGACGGAAAGAGCTGTTCAACCTCCTTCCTTGGAGGTTTTCAAGCAGAGGTTGGATGTCCACCTGCCATGGATGCTTGAGTTGAGATTCCTGCATTGCGGGGGGTTGGGCTAGATGACCTTTGGGTGTGCCTGCCATGATTCTATGAAAATTTCCAAGGCCACATCATAATGTAAAAGGGAGTGAGTGTGGCATGCCTTCTGCTAAAAGGATGCATGGCCAGGTCTTGCTCATCTACATGCAGCTGCTGGGTGACCTTGGGCCAGTCACACTTCTTTGAAGTCTCTCAGCCCCACTCACCTCACAGAGTGTTTGTTGTGGGGGAGGAAGGGAAAGGAGAATGTTAGCTGCTTTGAGACTTCTTAAAGGGAGTGAAAGGCGGGGTATCAAATCCAAATCCATCGAGGACAGAGATCTTCCTAGCAGACTTCAGGACTGTGAAAGCAGCCCATGGGGTGTCAAGGCAGGGTGCAGCCAATAGGGCCCCTACAGAAGGAGACCTTCGCTGTCGCCCATGGGGTGCACTGCCCCCTTTCCCCACAAACCTTGGGGAGGGTGTATCCACGGAACTCGACATCTCGCGTGACGGTGTGGGGCACCGCCATGGGGACGATGTCGGCGTAGCGCTGGATCTCGTGGATGACGGCGTCCGTGTAGGGCATCCGGCTCCTGTCCTCCATGCATGGGCTGCGGTTCACCCTGATGACCCGGTCAATCTCCTCGTGGAGCTTCTCTGTGGCAAGGAAGGAGGGCGGGGAAAGCTGTAAAGGGGTCCCAGATGCGGTGACGGACAGGGAAATGGGCCGTGGTGGTCTGCGAGGGGTTAACGACGGGAAGAGCCCGTGTGGAGGGTGGGTGGATGGGAGCAGAAAGGGAGAGGGCGCAGGAGTGGCAGGAAGGCGAATGCAGACGAAGATGCCCTAGAACAGGCCCCCTTTGACCCACTGATTTCAATGAGCTTATTGAGCGTGATTCCAGCATGGCCCTGGGGGGTTGGGATGGATGACCCTTGGGGTCCCTTCCAACTCTGCAATTCTATGAGCCTATGAAGCCCAGGGTTCTAGCTCTTCCTTGGCATTTCTGTAGATGAGATTTGGGCAGTTCAGAGCAACCTCAGACTGGAGGGGCCAGCAAACTTTTTCAGCAGGGGGCCGGTCCACTGTCCCTCAGACCATGTGTTGGGCTGGACTATATTTGGGGGGGGGGGAATGAACGAATTCCTATGCCCCACAAATAACCCAGAGATGCATTTTAAATAAAAGCACACATTCTACTCATGTAAAAACACCAGGCAGGCCCCACAAATAACCCAGAGATGCTTTTTAAATAAAAGGACACATACTACTCATGTAAAAACACACTGATTCCCAGCCCATCCAGATTTAGAAGGCGATTGGGCCGGATCCGCCCCCTGGGCCTTAGTTTGCCTACCCATGGCCTAGAAGCTTGCAGCCCTCTCTGGCCATTGTGCCTCCCCTGGCTGTGACTTTGTCATCCCGTTGATCTCTGTGTGGTTCAGGGGTGCCGTACAGTGGTACCTCTACTTACGGATGCAATCTGTTCCTGGGTGCCGTTCGTACCCAGAAAAGTCCGTAAGTAGAGCGCCACTTCTGCATGTGCGCATGACGCAATAGAGCACTCTTGCGCATGTGCAAAGTGCGCAGAACGCTTCTGCGTGTGTGCGTGCGGCGAAACCCGGAAGCATACACTTCCAGGTTTGCAGCGTTCGCAACCCAAAAATCTGCAACATGAACCTAGAATCATAGAATCATAGAATCCTAGAGTTGGAAGAGACCACAAGGGCCATCAAGTCCAACCCCCTGCCAAGCAGGAAACATCATCAGAGCACTCCTGACATATGGTTGTCAAGCCTCTGCTTAAAGACCTCCAAAGAAGGAGACTCCACCACACTCCTTGGCAGCAAATTCCACTGTCAAACAGCTCTTACTGTCAGGAAGTTCTTCCTAATGTTTAGGTGGAATCTTCTTTCTTGTAGTTTGGATCCATTGCTCCATGTCCGCTTCTCTGGAGCAGCAGAAAACAACCTTTCTCCCTCCTCTATGTGACATCCTTTTATATATTTGAGCATGGCTATCATATCACCCCTTAACCTCCTCTTCTCCAGGCTAAACATGCCCAGCTCCCTTAGCCGTTCCTCATAAGGCATCGTTTCCAGGCCTTTGACCATTTTGGTTGCCCTCCTCTGGACACGTTCCAGTTTGTCAGTGTCCTTCTTGAACTGTGGTGCCCAGAACTGGACACAGTACTCCAGGTGAGGTCTGACCAGAGCAGAATACAGTGGCACTATTACTTCCAACCTAACGCAACTAGAGGTATGACTTTACTGGCTTCCTTCTGACTGCCTATTCTGAATTGGTTTGTAGGATTTGGCCCTCCTGGAAATCACACCAGCCTTGTGTTTCCCCAAAGTGAGAGGTTTTTTTTGCACGTTTTGTGGTCCAGTGGTTAGAGTGCTAGACTTGGACCAGAGAGACAAGGGTTGCTATATGTGCGAAATTTCCCAGACATAGCTGGAATACGGCAGTCGGAAACAGTGTCCAACACAGAACCACAAACCGCTGTGTTGCAAACTTGACACAACAAACAATACAAGCAACACGAAGACCAGTATACAGTGGTACCTTGGGTTAAGTACTTAATTCGTTCCGGAGGTACGTTCTTAACCTGAAACTGTTCTTAACCTGAAGCACCACTTTCGCTAATGGGTCCTCCCACTGCCGCCGCGCCGCCAGAGCCCGATTTCTGTTCTCATCCTGAACCAAAGTTCTTAACCTGAAGCACTATTTCTGGGTTAGCGGGTGTGTAACCTGAAGCGTCTGTAACCTGAAGCGTATGTAACCCGAGGTACCACTGTACTAGATAGCACTGCAATTCTTATTGCATAATATACATGATTTAGTACAACAAAAAGTGAATAACAACGTAGGACAGTGATCCCGGATAATCTGACTGTTTCGCTGGAATCCTCTTCAGCACAACTCATAGATTAGAAAAATGCACATGGAGCAGTGGTCATCCTGAAGAAGGTTCCAGCGAAACAGTCAGATTATCCGGGATATCACTTCGGAACCATGAACACCTAAAAAAAGTTTTACCGCTTAGCCCACAGGATAGCATCTATTATTTTGTTTCAACCATAGACTAATTATACTTCTACGGACTTTCAAAGATTGACAAACGCGTGTTCATTTATTTCAAATATATTAGAGAATTTACAAGTGTACACATTGTGTTTTTGTTGTATCATGTATATCATGCAATAAGAATTGCAGTGCTATCTAGTATACTGGTCTTCGTGTTGCTTGTATTGTTTGTTGTGGAAACAGTGTCCAGGCAGAAGTTGCTGCAATGTCCATGTTGGGAGTCGAGATTTTGGCACATTTCCTTAAAAATAAACCCCAAATCTTCCTTTTTTATTGAGATTTTGCAAAAGGAAGCTCATCAATGTTTGGCAAAACTGTACGAAGGTCAATAACTCCCGTGTCTGGATTTTCACCATTTTGCAATATGGCAACCCTATGGGAGACTGGGATTCGAATCCCGACTCAACCATGAAGCATTCACGGGGTGTGACCTTGTAGACAAGTCCCACCTTTAGTTGAAATTCCTGCATTGCAACAGGTTGGGCTAGATGACCTTCGGCGTCCCTTCCAACTCTACAATTCTACGATTCTATGCTTCTGAGCCTAACCTCCCTCACAGGGTTGTTGTGGGGAGTAAATGAGGAGAGCCGTGTGCGCCACCTGAAGCGCCTTAGAGAAAAACGTGGGCTATAAAATATGAAAAGCAAATAAATAAAAGACATATCCTCCACCAGGGCCAGGGCCTTCTCAGTGATGGCTCTGACCTGGTGGAATGCTCTGTCCCATGAGACCAGGGCCCTGCAGGGTTTAACCTCCTTCCGCAGGGCCTGTAAGACGGAGCTATTCCGCCTGGCTTTCAATCTGAATTTAGCCTGATCTTTTATTCCCCTTCCTTCCTTCCTTCCCTCCCCCTCCCCTTTTAATGAAGATCACCCGCTCTGGGATCCCACAGCTAATTCTCCCCTGGTCTCCTCACTGGCCCAAATAGAACTAATTTAGCCAGCTAGCCCTGGTGATCATCTAATGTTTATTGGATGGATTTTCCTCCCTAAATTGATTTTTGAATTTATTGTTATTCACGTTTTATACTGTATTTTATGCTCTTTTTTGTTGCATGAATTAAGTGTTTTAAATTTGTTGTTAGCCACCCTGAGCCCGGTTTTCTGAACCGGGAAGGGTGGGGTATAAATAAAAAAATACTATTATTACAGTCATACCGCGGGTTGAATACACTTCAGGTTGAGCGCTTTCGGGTTGTGCTCTGCGGCGACCCGGAAGTAACAGAACGCGTTACTTCTGGGTTTCGCCACTCGTGCATGCGCAAACGGTCAAAATGACATCATGCGCATGCGCGGAAGCAGTGAATCGCGACACGCGCATGCGCAGACGCACAGTCATGGGTTGCGTTCGCTTCAGGATGTGAACGGGGCTCTGGAACGGATCCTGTTCGCATCCTGAGGTACCACTGTATTATTATTATTATTATTATTATTATTATTATTATTATTATTATTTTCCATCCCTGGTGGGCAGGTAGGACTGCACCCTCCGCCCCAAGGGCATTCCTGTGTGAGAGCAGAACAGGCCCCCTTTGCTTTTGGAAACTGACCTTCCACCTCAGGGTGCCTCATGAGAATTCGGAGCCCGTATCTCAAAGTCGAGCTGACCGTCTCCGTCCCCGCAAAGAAGAGATTCACCGTGGTCTTCAACATGGTGTCTTCGTTGAAGTGTGTGTCCAGGTTGTTCTTTTCCTGCAACAGGGATATGGGAGGGGCTGAGAAACCTCGACAGCTTCAACGAAACTTGTGAAGAATACAATGCAGGATCCCATTGTCTGACAAGGCCCCTCCGGGCATAATTTTCATTCTGCATCTGTGATGATTTGTGGCTATGATGATATTAGATAGATCATTTATTACGGTTGCATACCAGCTTATAAAGGGAGGCGGGTGGCGCTGTGGGTTAAACCACAGAGCCTAGGACTTGCTGATCAGAAGGTCTGCGGTTTGAATCCCAGTGACGGGGTGAGCTCCCGTTGCTCGGTCCCTGCTCCTGCCAACCTAGCAGTTCGAAAGCACGTCAAAGTGCAAGTAGATAAATAGGTACCGCTCTGGCGGGAAGGTAAATGGCGTTTCCGTGCGCTGCTCTGGTTCGCCAGAAGCGGCTTAGTCATGCTGGCCACATGACCCAGAAGCTGTACTCCGGCTCCCTCGGCCAGTAAAGCGAGATGAGCGCCGCAACCCCAGAGTCAGCCACGACTGGACCTAATGGTCAGGGGTCCCTTTACCTTTACCTTTACCAGCTTATAAAACACACTTGGGGGTACAATCCCAGAAGGAAAGCAAACATTTAAAACAATGTACAACAATAAATTTAAAATTTATAAATGCTATAAGCGCATAGACACTAAAAACTTTAAGATAAGCTACCACAGAGAGATGACTCAGAGTCACCCATGGAACCAAGTTTGGAGAGTTTCTTAGCGAACTAGTTTGAGTTGAGGGATGGTGTGCGCCTACAGATTTGTACACAGAATCTGGCGATCATCCGGGTCGTCTTTTGGTCTTTGCCTAACAGGAAAAGGTCAAATTTTTGCTTTTCTGGGAGGTCAGCGAGCCTCACCAGCAGGGGATCAATGGTCTCACTACGTGCCTCTTCATAAAAAGGACATCTAAAGATGATGATATTGCTCATTATGCGAACGCGCTTTCTACATCACACTGCTGGTGCCTGCGAAAGCTTTTTCTGCTTTGTTTTCGACAGGCGTACGAACCGTAGCTTCCTGCTGAAATCCTGCAACTTTTTACTCCACAAATTTTTCGCTTTATTTTTGGGGTCCTGCTCTTGTTATGCTCCAGCACAAGAGTTGTCCCTCCGGGTGGCAATAGTCTGGGAACAGTTGGTCCCTTACCTTTCCCGCCCTGACCTGGCCACAGTGATCCATGCGACGGTCACCTCCAGGCTTGACTACTGTAATTCGCTCTACGCGGGGCTGCCCTTGAAGCTGTCCCAGAAACTCCAGCGGGTGCAGAATGCCATGGTGAGGCTCCTCACGGGGTCTCTGCCATGGGAGCATATTCACCCAGTGCTTTTCCAGCTGCACTGGCTCCCGGTGGAGTACAGGGTCAGGTTCAAGGTGCTGGTTTTGACCTTTAAAGCCCTTCATGGCCTAGGACCCTCGTACCTATGGGACCGCCTCTCCCGGTATGCCCCATGGAGGACCTTAAGGTCCATAAATAGCAACACCCTAGAGGTCCCAGGCCCTACGGAAGTCAGATTAGCCTCAACCAGAGCCAGGGCCTTCTCAGTGATGGCTCTGGCCTGGTGAAACGCTCTGTCTCATGAGACCAGGGCCCTGCGGGATCTGATTTCTTTCCACAGGGCCTGTAAGACAGAGTTGCTCCACCTGGCCTTTGGCTTGGAATTAACTTGATCCCCTTCCCATCTATCCTTTTTCCTTTCTCCTTCTGTGGTGGAACTCCTATTTGGGGATTTCCTAGGCTGTTTTTCTGGCCCATGTATGACCAGTCTGGATAGTTGGCCTTGGTGAAGATTTGACGTTTTCATCCCCAAAAATGAGGCTGCATTTTAATGTTGTATTTTAATCTTGTTTTTAAGTTGTATTTAAATCAATTGTTTTATACCTGGTGTTAGCCGCCCTGAGACCGGTCTTGGCTGGGGAGGGCGAGGTATAAATAAAATTTATTATTATTATTATTATTATTATTATTATTATTATTAGATTTAGAATTTGTATCCCGCTTTTCAAACCGTAAATGTCAAGCGCAAAGCAGCTCACAATAATTGCAACAGCATTCAAAACAACGAATGCTACAATTATTATAATATCAAACATGACAGCATATTAATAAAGTAAACAACAGCAGTGAATTCATCAAAACAATTAATACAATTCAAGAGTAACCAATGCAAAGCAGGGGGCTGGACTAGATGACCCCTGGAGTGCCTTTCAACTCTACAAGTCTATGATTCTGAGACAGATTGGCTGCAATGTGCTCTCTGCTGGGCTTCCCATGCGCTTGGTTTGGAAGCTGCAGTCTGTGAAGAATGCTGCAGCGTGATTGCTGACAGGAGAAAGTCCTTGCCAGCATATACCTTATTTTTTGCTCTATAAGACTCACTTTTCCCTCCTAAAAAGTAAGGGGAAATGTGTGTGCGTCTTATGGAGCGAATGCAGGCTGCGCAGCTATCCCAGAAGCCAGAACAGCAAGAGGGATTGCTGCTTTCGCTGCGCAGTGATCCCTCTTGCTGTTCTGGCTTCTGAGATTCAGAATATTTTTTTTCTTGTTTTCCTCCTCCAAAAACTAGGTGCGTCTTGTGGACTGGTGCGTCTTATAGAGGGAAAAATACGGTAACTCCTGTGTTGGAGTACTACAATATATCCAAAACAATGGGAGAAACTGGAAGGATCTCAAAAGAGAAGATAGACAGGGACTGGAAGGTGTTTAAAGGATACTTGCAAAACCATATTGAAAAATCCTATTAGAATAAACAAATTCCGTTTTAAATACTGGAATACTAAATAAGATGGATAACAATGTGTAATAGAAAAAGAAGCATGAAATTAGGTTAAAGGTGTATGAAAGAAAGTAATAGAAGTGGAAAGAAATTGCAGTTGAGTAGATGGGAAGTCTAACACAAAGGTGGGGTGAGGGGTGGTGGGTGGTGATGGGAAAAGGAATTATCTGTGGGACTGAGTGTAGGTATGTTTGAACATTTTAAAGGATTGTATGAAATGTATGTTTGTATATTCACAATATGTGTGTATTAATGCTGAATTATTTTAACAATAAAAACTTATAAATAAATGAATGATTGCTGGCAGGAGCAAGTCCTTGTCAGCATATTACTCCTCTGTTCAGAGATCTGAACAGGCTGCCGATTCACTACAGGGCCAAGTTCAAGGTATTACTGTTAGTAACAACTTGGAACCAGTTTACCTGTGAGATTGCCTTACTCCAAATATGCCTGCTCAACCACTTCGATCGGTGGATCTGGCCCTGTTCCAGCTGCCAGACAACCCCCCTTCTGCATTTGTAAGATCTCAATATTTTAGTGTGGCAGCACCTGCTCTTTGGAAATCCCTGCCACTTGATACCAAGCAGGTGCCTTCGCCATCCTTTTTTCGACGCCTCCTAAAAACATGTTTGTTTAAACAAACCTACCCAGATGCTTAGAAAGTTTGTGCGTGTCTTAATCTATTCTTAGTCTATTGCTATTTTTCCTTTTCAAAAGAAATTCCTGATTTTTTCCTGACTGATAATCTTATAGTTTTATCTTTTTTTGGTAGGCCACTTTGAGGTTGTTGCTGCTGCTTTGCAGTCGAGTGGTATATAAATTATGTGAAGTAAAATAGCTAAATTGTAGTCGGTTGAGAAACCACTGCTATAGAAGCCTCCTCCTGCTCACAAAACTGGAATTTTCCTGGCTTCCTGGCAAAGAGGGAAGGGATCTGGAATTAACGGCTGTTCCTTGGGACACTGAGGATACCTGCTGGATTTTGATGAGGAAGCAGTCGATGAAATCCCGGGGATTGTTGACGTCCAAAGTTTGCCGGTTCATCTCCAGCCGCTCGCCTACAAACCTGGCCAGCTTCAGGTAGTTTTTGTAGATCTGGCGGTGAGGCCCAGGGACGTACTTCATGATCTCTGGGAAGCTGAAGAGCATCTAATAATAATAATAATAATTTATACCCCGCCCTTCCTGGTTCAAAATCCAGGTTCAGGGCGGCTAACAACGAATCTAAAACACTTTAAAACACTTAATTATAAAATTATAAAAGAGCATAATTATAATTAATTATAAAAACAGCATAAAATACAGTATAAAAACATGAATACAGTGGTACCTCGGGTTAAGTACTTAATTTGTTCCGGAGGTTCGTTCTTAACCTGAAACTGTTCTTAACCTGAAGCACCACTTTAGCTAATGGGGCCTCCTGCTGCCGCCGCACCACCAGAGTACGATTTCTGTTCTCATCCTGAAGCAAAGTTCTTAACCTGAAGCACTATTTCTGGGTTAGCGGTGTGTGTAACCTGAAGCGTATGTAACCTGAAGTGTATGTAACCTGAAGCGTATGTAACCCGAGGTACCACTGTAAGAATAAAATTCAAAAATCAGTTTGATAATCCCCAGGGCTAGCTGGCTGAATTGGTCCTACTTGGGCCAGCGAGGAGGCCAGGGGAGAATTAGCTGTGGGGTCTCAGAGCGGGCGATCTTCATAAAAGGGGAGGGAAGAGAAGGGAAATAAAAGATCAGGCTGAATTCAAATTAAAGGCCAGGGGAAATAGCTTTGTCTTACAGGCCTGACAGAAGGAGATTAAATCTTGAAGGGCCCTGGTCTCATGGGACAGAGCATTCCACCAGGTCGGAGCCATCACTGAGAAGGCCCTGTCCCTGGCGGAGGATAGTGTGACTTCCTTAGGGCCCAGGACCTCTAAACTGTGGTTATTCATGGACCTTAAGGTCCTCTGCGGGGCAGACCAGGAGAGGCGGTCCCGTAGATACGAGGGCCCTAAGAAGAGCCCTAGAAGAGGAGAAGAAGACCCCAGTTTACGCACACCGCCCGGTGCATTCCCCAATCTTTTGATTGTGCCCATAAGAGGAGCCAGGAGAGCCAGACTGCCATTTCGGACCAAAGGCCCACCTCGTCTAACTAACACCCTGCAGCCCCAGTTCCCCTTCTCCCCCGCTGGCTCGGGCTCACCTGTCCCCAGGTGGAGCTCATGAGCTTCCAGTTGCTGTTGATGAGGTCCAGCAACATGAGGAATTTCTTGTCCGTGTATTCAAAGCGGTCCCCGAAAACTAAGGTGCAGATGATGTTGGAGCCGGCGCAACTCAGGAAGAAGGTGGGGTCAAAGGGTTTGCCTGGGAATAAAGCGAGATGAAGCAGATCTACTGTTTTCAAATCACCTTTTCAAAGACTTCTTCTAGTAACAAACCCAACAGCCACCCTTCTCTTTTAAATGGACTACCTTGAAAGGCGGTGGACTCTCCTCCGTTGAAGGCCAACTCTCAGGGATTTGTTAGCCATGATTCCTGCATTGAAGGGGGTTTGGCTAGATGACCCCTGGGGAGCCCTCCTACAGGTCTATGATTCCAACCTCTTGCTCTTCTGATATTTACAGATGTTTACAGCTTCTACTTGATGTTTACAGCTTCTCTTGAGAGTCCCATGGACTGCAAGAAGATCAAACGTATCCATTCTTAAGGAAATCAGCCCTGCGTGCTCACTGGAAGGACAGATCCTGAAGCTGAGGCGCCAATACTTTGGCCACCTCATGAGAAGAGAAGACTCCCTGGAAAAGACCCTGATGTTGGGAAAGATGGAGGGCACAAGGAGAAGGGGACGACAGAGGACGAGATGGTTGGACAGTGTTGTCGAAGCTACCAGCATGAGTTTGACCAAACTGCGGGAGGCAGTGGAAGACAGGAGTGCCTGGTGTGCTCTGGTCCAGGGGGTCACGAAGAGTCAGACACAATAAACAACTAAACAACAACAGCAATGGGGCTGGTGGGTTCCCTGTGGTTCACTCACTGGAAAGGGTTGTGTCCCTCCCCTCAGTGGTTTTCACTTGCTGGTGGAAGGACAGCAAGGAGAGAACCAGCTTGGCGTCCCTAGGCAGGGAGTTCCAAAGTTGCCTGGGAGCAGCCACCACCGAGAAGGCCCTTTCCTGCATCCTCACCATGGGGTCCTGAGAGGGTGGGGGCCTGAGAGAAGGGTCTCTCCTGAAGACCTAGGGTCTGGGCAGGTTCATATTGGAGGGGGGGGGCTCGGGATACAGCGCTTCAGACAGCTGGGACAAAGGGGGCTTGCGCAGGAGAAATCCCCAGGGGTGAGTTACGGTGCGCTTGAATTCATGTGCTATGGGGCTCCCTGGAAAAGATCCTGATGCTGGGAAAGATGGAGGGCACAAGGAGAAGGGGACGACAGAGGACGAGATGGTGGGACAGTGTTCTCGAAGCGACCAGCATGAGCTTGACCCAACTGCGGGAGGCAGTGGAAGACAGGAGTGCCTGGCGTGCTCTGGTCCAGGGGGTCACGAAGAGTCGGACACGACTAAACGACTAAACAACAACACAGTTTCTACAATGGCTGTGCTGGCCTGGGTTGATGGGCTTTGTAGCCCAAGACATCCAGAGAGCAACAGGTTTGTGAAGGCTGAAATGGGATGATGATGATGATGATGATAATAATAATAATAATAATAATAATAATAATAATAATAATTTTATTTATTATTTATACCCCGCCCATCTGGATATCCCTAAACTAAGGTTTCGTTATGCAAGAAGGGCTCTTTTTATCTAACACCCGCCACCCCAGATTGTTATTTTAAAGTATGAGCTAAGGCCACCCCACCTGTCGATGGGACGCGGGTGGCGCTGTGGGTTAAACCACAGAGCCTAGGGCTTGCCGATTGGAAGGTCGGCGACGGGGTGAGCTCCCGTTGCTCAGTCCCTGCTCCTGCCAACCTGGCAGTTCGAAAGCACATCAAAGTGCAAGTAGATGAATAGGTACCGCTTCGGTGGGGAGGTAAACGGTGTTTCCATGCGCTGCTCTGGTTCGCCAGAAGTGGCTTAGTCATGCTGGCCACATGACCCGGAAGCTGTACACCGGCTCCCTCGGCCAATAAAGTGAGATGAGCGCCGCAACCCCAGAGTCGGCCACGACTGGATCTAACGGTCAGGGGTCCCTTTACCTTTACCTAAGGCCACCTGTCATGGATGCCTTAGTTGAGATTCCTGCATTTCAGGGTGTTGGACTAAATGACCCCTGGGTGTCCCTTCCTGCTCTATGAACCTATGATTTCGTCATAATTTAAATCACAGGAAGTCTTTTCACCAGTTTGCTTTCAGTAGGGCGAAAGAGCCCAAGATTACTGAAGGATCCAATAATAAACACACTCCTTTATTTTCTGCTTCTTTTCTGTCTCTCGGACCAGATTTTATTATAATAATATTTATTTATGCGTTTGTATCCCAGCTTTTCCTCCGAGGAGCTCGAGGTGAGATATACACGTTTCCCTTCCTCGTTTAACCCCCACAACAACCCTATTCCAGAAAATGTTGGGAAATTGGTGGAGCAAATCCCTTTCACCCCTTCCCCTTCCCCTGGGCAGCCCCTTCCCCACCAACCTTCAGTTTTGTGGAACTCAGCCACCAGGAACTGAGCCTCTTCCTTGATCCGCTCCTCAATGGATCTCTTCCCCATCCCAAAGTTCTTGAAGGTGCTGATGGCAAACCTGCGCAGCTGCCTCCAGCGCTCCCCAGTGCCGTACACGATCCCTGAGGGAAAAGCAAAAGATAAGCCCAGGGCCATTGGCATGAATCCCCAGTGAGAAGCCCCTAACTCAGTCGTTCCGGGACTTTTTCAAGCCCATAGCCCCCTTGGTCCCATAAACTCATCCCCAGCATATCCACTCTACTCTGTCGAAAGCCTTATTCAAAATAGTGGTCTACACAGCCCACTAAGGGAGATAATGATCCATTAACATTCAAAACAGTCTCAATTGCTTGCAATTTTATTTAAATTCCAGCTAAAATTATTTAGTTAATTCAACCAAAAATGATGAACTTGATACAGGGTTTTCAATGATACAGGCTTTCCAAAGTATGATAGTCATTTAACCAATTCATTTAAGACTTTTTTAGGGATATCCGAATCTGTGATTCCTAGTAGGTCAGCTTCTGGTTTTTTGCTGAAAGATATTTTAAACATTTTCCCCAATTCTCTTCCAATGTCTGATCCTTTCCCAAAGCCACCCAACTTGGTGGCCACCCCTGCATCTTGTGGCAGTGAGTTCCGTAGTTTAGCTCTGTTGCCGCGTGACTTTCTTTTACGTGTACTGAACCTTGTAACATTTAACTTCGCCAGATGCCCATGAATCCTAGTGTTACCAGAGAGGGAGGAAAGCCTTTTCTCTACCCACTTTCTCCATGCCAAGCATAATTTTATAGCCTGCTATGGTGGCGCTGTGGTCTAAACCGCTGAGCCTCTTGGGCTTGCCGCTCGGAAGGTCAGCAGGTCACCCCTTCTGGGGCTCCTCTGCTGCCCCCATGCCTCTTAGCACCCCTCGATAATTTCACCCCCTACTTGGGGAGCCGCTGCAACGCTTCCTTTTCAAAATCAGCACCCCACCCCCCCATTTCCTCACCGTTCCCTTTGCTCCACATCTGGACGGCGGGGAAGTCTCCTCGGCCGCTGAACTCCTCTGCCTTGTCAATCAAAGCCTCCTTGAGCACCTGGTAGCCAGAGAGGACCACGCAAGGCCGAGAGCCCAGGTGGAAGGTGTACATTGGCCCGTAGGTCTTGCTAAGCTGCAAAGAGGAAAAAGAAGCAGGAAGCTGTTTAGGATAGGGTCGCCACATTTCAAAAAGCGAAAATCTGGATACAAAACATGTTGAGCTTTTCTTAGTTTTGCCTAAAGTTGTTGAGCTTCTTGGTTTGCAAACTCTCAAAAAAAAAAATGAAGTTTTTGAGCTATTTTTAAGGAAATTCGCCAAATTCTACACTGCTGACATGGGTTGCCATACATCTGGGTTTTCCTGGACTTTTCAACGTTTTCCACCTGGACACTGTTTCCTATGGCTCTATCTGGGAAATTCCGGTTGTATGGCAGCCCTAATTTAGGACAGCTGTGGCTTCATCTTCGGGGTCTTCTTGGGGCAAGAGGAGAATAACAGAAACCAAAAACCACCCTTAAAACCTGTTTCTTAGGGAAAGCTCCTTGAAATTGCACCACACATGGCAAATGTAACAAAAATGCTTTCTTCTCTATCGCCTAATAGCCTGAGAGGTTGAGATAAACTTGCTACATATGATCACTTATGGTGGGAATGTAGATTGGTGTGAGAAATTTGGAATTTACTTTTGATGGGAATGATGAATACTACTAAACAGACCATTTCTTCTTGTCCAAAATTAATGATACCCAATATTTTTTGATGATACCAATATATTGTCAAAATAATTCATCTTATGCATGATCTTGGCAGCTCAGTGGAAAGCAGCCCCAAGATGTCCCTCACAGAGAAAAATATGCATAATTTGAAGTTTTGACAAGGCCTGGGACCTCCAAATGGTTTTTATGTGACTTGGCATTCCTTTATTGCATATACACCAGAGGCGTCATTTTCAAGACAGCTCTTGTCACAAGCCTAGCAAACCTGGAACTAGATTCGATGATCACACTGGTATTTTATATTTGGATTTCGTTATTTTAATCCATGTGCAACTGTACTCATTATGTGTGACTATTTAATAGTTTTGTTTTTCATCTTGCCATTTTCATTTGCTGTTATAGCTGTTCTTTCTGTTTTATGTACATTATGAATATATATATATATATATATTTTCAAATCGCTAATCCAGCCTTCCACAGCCTGGTTTTACTCCACATCAGCATGCTTAAAAAATATAAAGAAAAATAAAGAAAATACCTGCTGAAAATCCTTCAGCATTTTACTGCAAATTTCTCCTACTGTGGACATTTTTGCAGTTCTACCTAATAAGCACAATTTGGCAATGCAATTTCCCCTAATGCAATGCACCTGCGCATGTCATTTGCACTATTATTTGCCTTTTAGCATACACTTCACCCTCTGTCCCCAGACATGCATTTTTTTGCACCCATTGCTCGGCTAGGGAACATCACTGCAAAATTCAGAGAAGTGCAAATTTCAGAGGACAGCCGTGATTCGGTTCATAGCTTGTTCTGGAAAGCACAGATCTGGAAGTTTCATCTTTAAATGTGATCGAATAAAATTCCTCCCCACCCCACCCCTAGCCGACACTTAATTGCTTGCATATTAACTGCTGACTAGTTTTACCGCTGAGACAAACTACACACAAAAGCATGACACTTGGCCGATTTTAAATTTGTGGAGGTAGAAAGTCCCAGGTCCTCTTTCTCTGGGCTCCTCCAGACATGCTCTTGTGCTGCATTTTTATAATAATAATAATAATAATAATAATAATAATAATAATAATAATTTATTATTTGTACCCCGCCCATCTGACTGGGTTTCCCCAGCCACTCTGGGCGGCTTCCACAAAGACCAAAAATACACTAATATGTCATACATTAAAAAACTTCCCTGAACAGGGCTGCCTTAAGATGTCTTCTGAATGTCAGGTAGTTGTTAATCTTTTTGACATCTGATGGGAGGGCATTCCACAGGGCGGGCGCCACCACCAAGAAGGCCCTCTGTCTGGTTCCCTGTAGCTTTGCTTCTTGCAATGAGGGAACCGCCAGAAGGCCCTCAGCGCTAGACCTCAGCGTCCAGACAGAATGATGGGAATGGAGACACTCCTTCAGGTATACCTGGCCTTTGAGGCTGTTTAGGGCTTTAAAGGTCAAACCAACACTTTGAATTGTGCTCAGAAATGTACTGGGAGCCAATGTAGGTCTTTCAATGTAGGTTATGTGGTCTTGGCGGCTGCCCCTAGTCACCAATCTAGCTGCCACATTCTGGATTAGTTGTAGTTTCTGGGTTACCTTCAAAGGTAGCCCCACGTATAGCACATTGCAGTAGTCCAAGCGGGAGATCACTAGAGCATGCACCACTCTGGTGAGACAGTCTGCGGGCAGGGAGGGTCTCATCCTGCATACTAGGTGGAGCTGGTAGACAGCTGCCCTGGATACAGAATTGACCTGCGCCTCCATGGACAGCTGTGAGTCCAAAATGACTCCCAGGCTGCGCACCTGGTCCTTCAGGGGCACAGTCACCCCATTTAGGACCAGGGAGTCCTCCACACCAGCCCGCCCCCTGTCCCCCCAAAACAGTACTTCTGTCTTGTCAGGATTCAACCTCAATCCATTAGCCGCCATCCATCCTCCAACCGCCTCCAGGCACTCACACAGGACCTTCACTGGTTCTGATTTAGGCACAAGTCTGAGTTTTAAAGTTCCATGCCAGAGTGTTTTTTGGGGGGTTTTTTGCCCCCCATTTCCCCCGTGAAAACCCACCAATCCACGGAAATCTGGAATTGCCATTTGTTTCTGTTCATCGTTAAAGAGCAGGTTTTCCTGGGCTGTGCCTAGAAAGTGCAGGGCAAAACGTAATGATGGGCAAGTCCCCTGTCTCGCTCCCCTCCTTGTCCTACGGCTTATCCCTTTCCCCATTCTCCCCCTGGGCTAAGACCCCAAAGTTGGTCCCCGTGCAATGCAGAAAAAAGGGTCAGGGGCGCCCCTTCGATGGGAAAACTGAGCCCCTTCCAACTCCAGCCTCTTCTTGCTTGAACTGAAAGGCAACTAAGGCAGAAAGAGCTTATTTTCAAGAGCTTATTATTATTATTATTATTAAAATCTGTATACCACCTGTCAGGGAACTGACATCGGAGCGGGAGGCGAAGGGGAGGCTCCTAGATGATGCTGGAGAAGGACCCAGCAGCAGGGGGAGAAGCAGCTCAGTGGAGGGGGAAGCATTTAAGCGCAACACCAGGGATAAAGGTGGGCAGATGGGGGAATCGGAGAGAGGGCTCCAGGACTCTTCACTGGAACTCAGTGAGGAGGGGACAGGTCCTCCGCTACCCACGCCCTCCCTGCGCAGAAGGCTCCCGCGCAGTGAGAGGAGGAGGAGACTGGGTGTCAAACAACTCTTATGTTGGAAGAGATTCAAGAAACGCCCACTGACGGATTCTGCCAGTGACTGAGCCAGTCGCAATTAGAAAGGGCTGTGCAGTCAGAAAGGTTTAACAAGGCAAATTAGCCTAGAGAGGCACCAGTTTACGCACGAGTAACTCATACTCATCACACCACCCTATACCTATAGATCGCAGGGCAGTCAACAACATAAAATTACAATATAAAAAGATGAACTGAACAACAACAGCAACAACAACAAGAAACCCTAGTCCCTAGTACCCAAGGAGCTGCTACTAGCTCTGAAGATCTTACAGCGACAGAATGATGCTTTGTGCATGGGCAGAGGCACTTTTGTTGCTCTTTCTCAGTTTCTCTGCCTGAAGCCCCCCTTTTATGCTTCTCCTGCCCTCAAAGAACCAAAATCCTGGCATTGTAGGTGAGGATATAAACAGAAAGGATTGTAAGTTATTTTTATACGCAGTGACGGCAGCAAGAATATTATTGGCACAAAATTGGAAGCAAGAAGAATTACCGACGAAAGAAGAATGGAGAACGAAATTGATGGACTATGTAGAATTAGATACACTAACAGGAAGGATTCGAAACCTGCGAGATCAGAGATTATCAGAAGACTGGAGTAAATTTACGGACTATTTGAAAACTAATTGTGATGGACAGATTATGCTAGTAGGTTTGCAAGACATTTCGTAAGGTGAATTATTTGAAATACTGCAAAAAAAGACAATGAGGAGAACTATTAGATAAAGATAATTAAAGGTAATATGAAATTAAGAAATGCATAATAAGCGATAAGAACGGAAAATCATCAGAGGTGTTGACGGAAGTCCAAAAAAATATATTGTACAGTGGTACCTCAGGTTACATACACTTCAGGTTACATACACTTCAGGTTACACACTCCGCTAACCCAGAAATATTACCTCGGGTTAAGAACTTTGCTTCAGGATGAGAACAGAACTCGTGCTCCGGCGGCGCGGCAGCAGCAGGAGGCCCCATTAGCTAAAATGGTGCTTCAGGTTAAGAACAGTTTCAGGTTTAGAACAGACCTCCGGAACGAATTAAGTACTTAACCAGAGGTACCACTGTATAAGATGTGAAGTTCTGTTGTATGAATGTTAATTAATATGTTAAAAATGAATAAAAATGTATTTTTTAAAAAAGAACCAAAATCCGTCCTGCTTTCTTGCCTGATGTGGAAATTGTAAAATCACTCCCCCGACACCCCCCCCAACATGGCTGCCGTGGTCTCACTTCTTTCAGGGAATTTATCAGCTCCTTGATGTCCACTTGGTGCATGTTTCCGATGAAGGGGAGTGGGGTTGGCCCTGGAGGAAGGGTCCTGAACTTCTTTCTCGACGAGAAGTGGAGGAAGAGGAGGCACGAGACGACCATGGCCAGGAGGATGCCAAAGACCCCGCCAAAATCTATCCTGGAGAGGAAGAGCTCCATTTCGCCGTCCGCGGTCTGCAGAGTCGCAGTGTCTGTGATTTCGCCTGGAGGGGGATGTTATATGGATGCCTGTGAGACCAGCTTCTAACTGGCTGGAACAAGCTTCCCTTGGCAAACAATGCGTGCCCTCAGCTGTCATTTGCTAACCTCATGTTTGCCGTTGGAGGAATCTTTCTGGCAGAGACACGGAATGAAAACAAGCTGGTTCTGCTTAGCCCTCAATGAAGACCAGATGTAGGCACATTTTGCTCTGTGTTCAGTGGCTTAAGAAACAGCATATATACAACGGTAACCAAATCTAACCTCTTATTTCTTATGAAATGCCGCATTTTCATACCTAAGAACCTGCATTTTAATGTTGTACTTTAATCTTGTTTTTAAGTTGCATTTTAATCAATTGTTTTATACTTGGTGATACTTTCTTGGTCTCCATGATCACTGCAGATGGTGATAGCAGCCATGAAATTAAAAGGCGCCTGCTCCTTGGGAGAAAAGCAATGACAAACCTAGACAGCATCTTAAAAAGTAGAGACATCACCTTGCCAACAAAGGTCCGTATAGTTAAAGCTATGGTTTTCCCAGTGGTGATGTATGGAAGTGAGAGCTGGACCATAAAGAAGGCTGATCGCCGAAGAATGGATGCTTTTGAATTCTGGTGCTGGAGGAGACTCTTGAGAGTCCCATGGACTGCAAGAAGATCAAACCTCTCCATTCTGAAGGAAATCAGCCCTGAGTGCTCACTGGAAGGCAGATCGTGAAGCTGAGGCTCCAATACTTTGGCCACCTCATGAGAAGAGAAGACTCCCTGGAAAAGACCCTGATGCTGGGAAAGATGGAAGGCACAAGGAGAAGGGGACGACAGAGGACGAGATGGTTGGACAGTGTTCTCGAAGCTACCAGCATGAGTTTGACCAAACTGCGGGAGGCAGTGGAAGACAGGAGTGCCTGGTGTGCTCTGGTCCAGGGGGTCACAAAGAGGCGGACACGACTAAACAACTAAACAACAACAACATACTTGGTGATAGCCGCCCTGAGCCTGGCTTGGCTGGGGAGGGCGGGGTATAAATGATTAATAATAATAATAATAAAAAAAATAATTACAGTGGTACCTCGGGTTACATATGCTTCAGGTTACATACGCTTCAGGTTACACACTCCGCTAACCCAGAAATAGTGCTTCAGGTTAAGAACTTTGCTTCAGGATGAGAACAGAAATCGTGCTCCGGCACTGCAGCGGCAGCAGGAGGCCCCATTAGCTAAAGTGGTGCTTCAGGTTAAGAACAGTTTCAGGTTAAGAACGGACCTATGGAACGAATTAAGTACTTATCCCGAGGTACCACTGTATTATTATTATTATTAGACGGGATTGCTGGATCAAGCCAATGGCCCATCTAAGGCCAGCATCTTGTTCCCTCAGTGGTCAAATACCTCTAAGAATCTAGGAATCTAGATAAACTGCCTCAGGACCTGGAGGTGCCATAAGAAGAGCCTGCCTGTCGGATCAGGCCAAAGGTTTTTAATTTAGTCTGGCATCCTGTTCTCACAGTGGCCAAACAGATGCCCATTATGGGAAACCCACAATCAGGATTTGAATGGAAGAGCTTAGCCATTGACAGCCCTCTTCTTTGTAAATGTAGGAATATGTCTTCAATGCCCGTGGATCAATCTTTGGGATGGGCTTTAATGACACAGTGGTACCTTGGGTTAAGAACTTAATTCGTTCTGGAGGTCTGTTCTTAACCTGAAGCTGTTCTTAACCTGAAGCACCACTTTAGCTAATGGGGCCTCCTGCTGCCGCCGCACCACCGCCGCACGATTTCTGTTCTCATCTTGAAGCAAAATTCTTGACCCGAGGTACTATTTCTGGGTTAGCGGAAGTCTGTAACCTGAAGCGTCTGTAACCTGAAGCATCTGTAACCTGAGGTACCACCGTACTGTGGCCCAGGGAGTCAGGATAGTCAGGCGACAAGAGTTCAATATGTGGGCAGGAGTTCAAATCTCCCTGTTTTGGGTTTTCAAAAGCTGGTCAGTATGACAGAGGGCCAAAGAGACTTCTGTTTGCTTCTTGTTTTCTGTCTGCCTCTGGCATCGTGGCCTGGCGTCTTGGCTTTGACTGCCTCCTGCTCGGACCTTGGAACTCCTTGGACCTTTGGGCAGGGCACAGGACTGGCAGAACATTATTTATGTATGCTACAACAGCGGCAAGAATCTTTATTGCACAATATTGGAAGACGGAAGAAATACCATCAAAGGAACAATGGCAAGAAAAGCTGATGAACTATGCAAAATTGGCTAAGTTAACAGACAAACTAAGAGAGAAGGACAAAAAGGACTTCCAAAGAGTCTGGGAACCATTTACAGTTTATTTGCAGAAACAACAGAATGGACTGGATTCATTGGCAGGATCTGAATAAACTTTCACAACTTCTTTTGAGCAACAGATATTTCAGAGAACTGATAAGGGATTTTATTTTTGCGTAGGAAAAGCAGGATACGATAAATAAAACTAAATAACTCAGCAGAGAAGGAGTTGAGGGGAGGGAGAATAATTCTAAATAGCATGATGAATGAGATTTGTATCATTAATTGTTATAAAATTCAATAAATGTTCAAAAAAGGACTGGCAGAAGTCCTGGCAGGCCCTGTCTGGGCCTCTTTTCCCAATGACCCTCCATCTGACTTGGCTTCCTCCAGCCCCTTGGGAGCCAGAAGAGTGGCTGGGCTCTGCTCCCTGGTGAGGCTGGTCAAAGATTGACGGAGATGGACCCCGGCTGACATCTATTGATTATTTCCCCCAAAACGACCTTTAAGCTGGATGATTAAAGGTAAAGGGACCCCTGACCATTAGGTCCAGCCGTGGCCGTCTCTGGGGTTGCGGCGCTCATCTCACTTTATTGACCGAGGGAGCCGGCGTACATTTTCTGGGTCATGTGGCCAGCATGACTAAGCCACTTCTGGCGAACCAGAGCAGCGTACGGAAACGCTATTTACCTTCCCGCCGGAGCTGTACCTATTTATCTACTTGCACTTCATGCTTTCAAACTGCTAGGTTGGCAGGAGCAGGGACCGAACAATGGGAGCTCACCCTGTCGTGGGGATTTGAACCGCCTACCTTCTGATCGGCAAGTCCTAGGCTCTGTGGTTTAACCCACAGCGCCACCCATGTCCCTAAGCTGGATTATTAGCCATCCATAAATTGCACAAGGCATTGTAACTTCAAGGGCTCAGTTGCTTGGCAAATAAAGGAACTCATAGAATCATAGAACTGTGGAGTTGGAAGGGAAACCAAGAGTCATCTAGTCCAGCCCTCTGTATGCAGGAATCACAGAATCCCTGACAGATGGCCATTCAAGCTCTGCTTAAAAACCTCCAAGGAAAGAAAGTCCGCCACCTTCCGAGTGTCAGGAACCAAGGTGTTGGTCAGCAAATGAAAGAAACACAGTGTCAGTGACATCAATTCTTTATTCAAAGAAACCCAAGCCTAGTGTTACAACAACTCTTCCTAGTAGGTCTTGCCCCCGTGAGCTCCCTTAGACTCCTCCTCCCCTGGTTCCTTCCCAAACAATCTGAGACTTCTCCACCTTGCCTACCTTTGCTCCGCTCTCTTCATACCTCTTCGTGTTCTGGGAGACCGGATGACTCTTGGTGTCCCTTCCAACTCAACAGTTCTATGATTCTATGAGTTTTATTTGCCAAGCAACTGAGCCCTTGAATCTACAATGCCTTGTGCAATTTATGGATGGCTAATCTTCCAGCTTAAAGGTCATTTTGGGGGAAAGAATAAATAGATGTCAACCGGGGTCCATCTCTGTCAATCTTTGACCAGCCTCACCAGGGAGCAGAGCCCAGCCGCTCTTCTGGCTGCCAAGGGGCCGGAGGAAGCCAAGTCTGATGGAGGGTCATTGGGAAAAGAGGCCCAGACAGGGCCTGCCGGAACTTCTGCCAGTCCTGCACACTGCCCAAAAGTCACACGCTGTGCTTTAAAACAAAACAAAACAAAAATAGTCATCTTGCGCCTTGCTGTTATAGATCCATGTTTGGATACAACATTAGAACATGAGGAGGTTCAATCTGAAATCAGACTAGGAAATAAGATTATTCCTCTCACAGGACCAGAGGTGGCTAGTAATAGTGGATATCAGGTTATAATCAGTGCCAAATTTGGTAGGAACCTGCCAACCCTGAGTTTGTTTCTTAAAATATGTCAGAAATATACATGGCAGCCTAGGCCATTGGCTGGGCAGTGCCTCAAATGAATAAACATTTCTGAAATTGTGATACATAGAGCCTTCGGAAAGCGAATGTGAAGGGGAAAGTTTGGCCTAGTTCTCCATCCTTGAGCAATGGTCAACCTATCCACAGCCAACAAATATAGAAAAAGAGCTTTACAAACTAGTTCTGCACTGCAAGCTTTGAATATTTATGATAGACAGAAACAGACATCAAGATTCACTGGTGTGCCTGCAATCTCTGAAATTTCTTGTGCAACTTGTCTCCAAAACATGAATATTTTTGATGGTACCAATGCAGATACATTGCCAAAGGAATTGGTCTTATGTATGATCTTGGCAGCTCAAATGTTGTTTAGTCGTTTAGTCGTGTCCGCCTCTTCGTGACCCCCTGGACCAGAGCACGCCAGGCACTCCTGTCTTCCACTGCCTCCCGCAGTTTGGTCAAACTCATGACCAAATAGTCATTACAAAATCTTACACTGGGTGCTTGGCAACACTCACTGTGGGATATAGTGATAATGAAGAAAGCTGTGAATCATTTGAGAGTTTTGACAAGGCATATGACTTGGCATTCCTTTATTGCATATACTGAAGTTTTTAACGTGTGACATTTTAATGTATTTTTAATCTTTGTAGGAAGCCACCCAGAGTGGCTGGGGAAACCCAACCAGATGGGCAGGGTACAAATAATAATAAGTTGTTGTTGTTGTTGTTGTTGTTGTTGTTACGATTATACAAAGGAAGCCTCTTTCTCAAGATAACCCTTCTCCCCAGTCCGGCAGATCTCGAACTAGCCTTGAAAGTCAGTCTTTTTTGCTTGGACTTTGTTATGCTAACCCATGTGCCTCTCTTAAAATTTTGTTTTTCATCTTTTCATTCCCATCTCCTCCATATTTTTTTTTCTTCACCAAAAATGCCTCCAGAGGTGATACCCACCACGGTATCTTGGGTTCCAATAAATTTTGATATTTTGTCCACACTTTATACAGTTAATTCCTAATTATATGCTTTGAAAACCCTTTGTGTATTTATTATATACAAGGTACGCATGCCATCCCTACCGATTATTCCATCCCTCTATATCTAATATGTCTGTATTTTCTAACAACATCCAATCCCTAATCCAACATAGGCATGCTGCCTCGTAATATAGTCTTAAGCAAAGCCCCCCCTCCTTTTTTATCTGTTAGCAATTTATATTTAATATGTGGCTTCTTGCCCTGCCATATAAACTTGGTTAAGATTCCCCCCCCCCCCATTTATTGAAGCACTCCATTTTTCCTATAATAGGAATCATCTGGAAGATGAATAACAATTCTGGAAGAGTATTCATTTTTATGGCTGAAATTCTTCCCCATAGTGTCAATTTTAATCTAGACCAAATTTCCGTATCATTTTTTTATTTATTCCAAATTTTGTTGTAATTATCTTCAAATAAATTAATATTTTTCATTTTAACATAAATTTCTAGATATTTAATTTTCTTTACAATTTGTAAGCCTGTTTTTTCTTGTAATTCTTTTTTCTCCTGTTCCTGCATATTTTTAACCATTAATTTTGTTTTAGATTTATTAAGTTTGAAGCCTGAGACTTTACCGAAATCTGTCATTTTCCCAAGATACTTTCTTCTGGATCTTCCACCATTAATATTAAGTCGTCTACGAATGCCTTCACTTTGAAAGATGTGTTGCCTAATGTTATCCCCTTTATTCCCTGGTCTTTCCTCATATCCTGATTAAGAATTTGGTAATAGCTACTGGTTTTCATTGAAAACCCATGGACTGCAAGAAGATCAAACTTATCCATTCTTAAAGAAATCAGCCCTGAGTGCTCCCTGGAAGGACAGATCCTGAAGCTGAGGCTCCAAGACTTTGGCCACCTCATGAGAAGAGAAAAGACCCTGATGTTGGGAAAGATGGAGGGCACAAGGAGAAGGGGACGACAGAGGACGAGATGGTGGGATAGTGTTCTCAAAGCTACCAGCATGAGTTTGACCAAACTGCGGGAGGCAGAGGAAGACAGGAGTGCCTGGCGTGCTCTGGTTCATGGGGTCACGAAGAGTCAGACACGACTAAACAACTAAACAACAATAACAACAATTGGTTTTCATATAGTTAATGTATATCTGTGCAGTGCTTTTTCCTAGAAAAATAGGTGCCAGTACTCATCATAAAGATGTCATAGCAAATGTCACATATTTCAATTTATAAAAAGAGGTTCTGGTACTGCGTACCTTTGAATACCCCCCTTTTAAAAAAGCATTGTATCTGTGGTAGACAAATGTTTGTGCACATTTGTTAAGTTGTTGTTGTTTAGTCGTTTAGTCGTGTCCGACTCTTCGTGTCCCCCTGGACCAGAGCACGCCGGGCACTCCTGTCTTCCACTGCCTCCCGCAGTTTGGTCAAACTCATGCTGGTAGCTTCGAGAACACTGTCCCACCATCTCGTCCTCTGTCGTCCCCTTCTCCTTGTGCCCTCCATCTTTCCCAACATCAGGGTCTTTTCCAGGGAGTCTTCTCCTCTCATGGGGTGGCCAAAGTAGTGGAGTCTCAGTTTCAGGATCTGTCCTTCCAGTGAGCACTCAGTAGCTATATACAATAGATTATGGCATGAATATCCTCCACCCTCATGTTGTTGCAAGTAAGAATGCATATTTTACCAGCAAAATATTCTCTCTCTCTCTCTCTCTCTCTCTCTCTCTCTCTCTCTCTCTCTGCCAATCTCTCAGGAGTGCAGAGGTACTGAGAGAGAAACCGAGATCTTCTTGTGGTGTAGTGGTTAAGAGCGGTAGTCTCGTAATCTGGGGAACCGGGTTTGAGTCTCCGCTCCTCCACATGCAGCTGCTGGGTGACCTTGGGCTAGTCACACTTCTTTGAAGTCTCTCAGCCCCACTCACCTCACAGAGTGTTTGTTGTGGGGGAGGAAGGGAAAGGAGAATGTTAGCCACTTTGAGACTCCTTAAAGGGAGTGAAAGGCGGGATATCAAATCCAAACTCTTCTTCTTCTTCTTCTTGTGCCGCAACACAGGAAGGGAGAGATTAGTGTTGGCGCCAGGACTCTGACAGCTGGTACAGGGGAGGGAGGCAGGGGGGCCGCTGGGATACAGAGAGCACCGAAGCTCCTGAGGAGCAGTTCCTCTTCCAGTGGTGGGAAAAGCCACACTTCCAGTGGAGAAGAGAGGGAAGGGGCCAGTCAAGCGAGGGAAGGGCTCGAGGATGCTGCTGAGAGCCCCAGTGCCTTGCGTCGCCAGGCTGGCCAGGAGGGACGCACGCGACTTCCATCGCCCAGCTTGCACAGAGGGGTGAAACGCAAGGAGGGGAGGAGGAGGAGGCTTTGGGTGCTGAAGTTCTTATGTTGGGGGAGAAGCCGGAAGGGGCCACTCCCGGATTCTGCAAGTGACTGAGACGGACATGAACTTTGCACTGTAAATAGTTTACACCAGGTGAGTTGGGTTCTTCCTCCTCATCCTTGCACGGACAGGCCTTCAAAGAGAGGGCTTTCCTACTTTACGGCCAATCTCTCAGGAGTGCAGAGGTACTGAGAGAGAAACCGAGATCTCCCTGCGCCGCAACACAGGAAGGGAGAGATCAGCGTTGGCGCCAGCACGCTGACAGCTGGTATTTTGGGGGCACCTTCCCAAGGCCCACGGCCACCGGTGCGAGGCTGATCTGGCTGGGGGGCACAGGGGACTGGAGGGTGAAGGATTGCAGGATGGTGGTGAAGAAGAGGAACAGCTCCATGCGGGCCAACCCTTCGCCGATACACATGCGCTTCCCTGCCAAGAGAGAAACGCAAAATCTGTCGGGCAGGTGGAAGGAGCCCTCTGACAAAACCCACCCTTGAATTTATTCCCCCGTGAAAGAAGTTTCCGTTCTTCTGCCTCATTCTTGGGGTGCTTCAGGAATTTCCTTTAGAAACAAGTATTAATTGAATGAATTATGAAGGATTTATATCTAGATGTTAGGATAGAGATGATAAAGAAAACAGGAAAACAGGAAGACACAATGAGAGATAAAGGAGGTGCTGTGGGATGGGTGGAAGTCAATGTCTTGTCGTTGTTTTAGTGTTTATAATATTAACTTGTAAGATATGGATTTTTTGTTGTTGTTGTTGCTTTCTTTAGTTTTCAAATGCTGATTTTTGTGTGTTGTGTATTGTTATTTTTTGATATCTTTCGTGGTGTTGTTGTTTGGAAAATACTAATAAAATTTATTTTTAAAAAATCAATAAAAAGAAGAAGAAGAAGAAAAAAGGAATGAACCATGGCATGTTTTTATTTGGTCTTTAACATCTATGGATTATTTCTGTTGTACAGTTTTAAAACCAATAAAGCATTTTTTTAAATTAAAAAAATTGAAATTCGGTGGGTGCAAAATTTAGTGGGAACAATTATTCATAGGTACGTTGATCAATAGCTTATGATGCATAGGCAGTAAAAGAAAGTGTTAAATGGCTGATAGGTGAAAAGATGCTCTAGAAGAGTCACGGTTGAAACAGTACCTCCTCCATGAGAGGTCCAGAGGGTTGCAACCTGGGAACGGGCCTTTTCTGCAGTGGCTCCCTGTTTCTGGGATGCTCTACACAGGGAGGCTCACTTGGTGCCTTCATTATAAATCTTTAGGTGCCGGGCAAAAATGTTCCTCTTTGGCCTCTATCTGTGGCCCCTTGCATTGGGTGGGGTGTTTGTAATGTAGTCTTTCAATGGGATGTACAGCAACAGGTTGATAAGTGGTCAACCCAGCCCTTCTCCCACGCTGTCCTTGGCAGGTACAACGCAGGAGAGCCCTGCAGGATCAGGCCCCCCAGCCCTGCATCCTGTTCTCCCAGTGGCCCCCAGATGCCTGCGAGAAGCCAAGTCAAGTAGGACCAGAACAGAGGTTCCTTTCTCTGACCCTCCTGGGAAGGACCGCCTGGAAATGAATCTCATAGGAGACCACTCACTAACCCCACTCCCCACTCCCCTCCCAATGGAATGGAAGGAGCCCCCTCCCCACGTACCTGCTGAGAAAGGCATGAACGCCTCAAGCTTCTTGAAGCAGCCTTGGCTATCCAAGAATCTCCCTGGGTCAAACTCTTGAGGGTTGGAGTGCTCCTCTGAGTCATAGTGAACGCTGCTCAGCAAAGGATAGATGTAGGTCCCCTGGGAGAATCATATACAGTGGTACCTCGGGTTACAGACGCTTCGGCTTACAGACGCTTCAGGTTACAGACTCTGCTAACCCAGAAATAGTACCTCGGGTTAAGAACTTTGCTTCAGGATGAGAACAGAAATCGTGCTCCGGTGGTGCGGCGGCAGCGGGAGGCCCCATTAGCTAAAGTGGTACCTCAGGTTAAGAACAGTTTCAGGTCAATCAATGAAATTTTATTAATATTTTCATATTGAGATATTTGTAGAATATCTTCTTTTCTCTCTCTATTTTTTCTTCTTTTTCTTCTTCTTTTTTCTCTTTTCTATAAATGTGTCCTTATTTAAAATATGTATGTATGTATTTGTAATATTTTGCTTACATTTTGTAATAATTATGTTAAATAAATTAATTATATATATATATATATATATATATATATATATATATATATATATGAATGAGAACAGTTTCAGGTTAATGATGTACCTCCAGAACGAATTAAGTTCTTAACCCGAGGTACCACTGTAGTTATTTATTTCCTTCACATCTAATGGGAGGGTGTTCCACAGGGTGGGTGCCACCATCGAGAAGGCCCTCTGCCTGGTTCCCTGTAACCTTACTTCTTTCAGTGAGGGAACCACCAGAAGGCCCTCAGAGCTGGACCTCAGTGTCCAGCCAGAACAATGGGGGAGGAGACGCTCCTTCAGGTATACAGGACCGAGGCCATTTAGGGCTTTAAAGGTCAGCACCAACACTTTGAATTGTGCTCGGAAACGTACTGGGAGCCAGCGAAGATCCTTTAGGCCTGGTGTTATATGTGCAGCCTTTCTCAGTCACCAGTCTAGCTGCCGCATTCTGGATTAGTCACCTTCAAAGTTAGCCCCCCATAGACCTCATTCCACTAATTCATTGCAGGTGGTTGAACACGGAGACCCTTTGGGTCCCTTCCAACTCTTTAATTCTATGATTATTGGCTTGTCAGCAGCAGCATTCCAACTCTAGTGAAACCCAGTGTTGATTTTGTTTCAAAATCTTCCCTGCACTTTACATCATTTAGTAGTATTAAAAAGATCCAGATGGACAAGCATCCTGGCAGACAGATAAGGCAGCTTCCTGGGAGCTTTGAAATATACCCATTTCACAGGTGGAGAACTGACTCCTGTGGATAAATGCCTTTCCAAGGCAAGTCCATGTGTGACATGGGAGGCACTGAGCTCAAATCCTGTCCCCGCCCTGACCCAGGAGTTTCAGACCAGTTGCATGGAGGGCCCAAAGGCTGGATCCTGATCGCTCCACCCCTGCTGGGAATCTTACCTTGGGGATGACATAGCCCCTGAAGTGGATGTCTTTCCTGGCCATGCGGGGAAGATTCATGGGTAGGATATCGCTGAATCGCTGGATCTCGTGCACTACAGCCTCCATATAGGGCATTTTGTTCCTGTCCTCACTGGCTGGGGTCCGGTCCCTCCCAATCACTCGATCGATTTCCTCGTGGAGTTTTTCTTGGGGAAAAGAGAACAATTCCTGTGTCACAGGGAGCTGAGCAAGATGACCTTTTGGGTCCCTTACAACTGTACAATTCCATCATTCTATGACTGAGCACCTGTTCACAATCAGGATAGCACCGTGCCTTTCTCTCTTGACACCCTTTCACTGGGACATTTTTGGGGATGGAGGGAGGACAAGACGGAGGGGCCATGGGCACAAATCCCTCTCATCTGGGAACTGTGTGTATACAGTATTTTTTGCTCTATGTTGTTGCTTAGTCGTTTAGTCGTGTCCGACTCTTCGTGACCCCATGGACCAGAGCATGCTCTATAAGACTCACTTTTTCCCTCCTAAAAAGTAAGGGGAAATGTGTGTGCGTCTTATGGAGCGAATGCAGGCTGTGCAGCTATCCCAGAAGCCAGAACAGCAAGAGGGATTGCTGCTTTCACTGCGCAGCGATCCCTCTTGCTGTTCTGGCTTCTGAGATTCAGAATATATTTTTTTCTTGTTTTCCTCCTCCAAAAACTAGGTGCGTCTTGTGGTCTGTTGCGTCTTATAGAGCGAAAAATATGGTAACCTTTTTCTAGATGATGTTACTCTCGCCAGGACGGAACTACATGTCCCGTTAATCTCACATCTTGACTACTACAGTCACTTCTATTTGGGGCTTCCCTTGAGGGTGGAAATTGCCTGTTTCTTTATCTTACTGCATTAATAGATCACCTTTTTCTCCATGGAAATCAAGGTGGTGTACATGGTCCACACAGCCCTCCATGGAGAAGAGTGCACTTAAGTTTGGGCTGTTGCCTTCCATCATCAGCTTGATCTGTTCTTGGCATCTGACTATCTTGAGAGACAATGGAGTGTGCCACCAGGGGTGAAGTCAAACGGCTGTGTTAGGAGACCAAAGTGACCTCCCCAGGGCGCAAGCCTGGGCAGTGTGTATGGAGGTCTTGGGCTGCCCAGATGACAAGACCCCGCTTTCGGCCTTCCTGATGTGGTCCAAAGGAAAGCAGAGCACGACGTTTGGTACCAGCTGGGCTGCAGGAGTTGCAGGAAGGTGGCGTACAAGGTGCCATCCAACCATCTTAGGGACCTCAGTCCTGATTTGTGTAGGGCAGGAATGTCCAACTTCAAGTAGGCTGTGAGCTACTATCCAGTATCAAAAGCTGTCATTCTTCAGCAAGCATTCCATTCTCTCACCCTTCGGAAGTCATTTAAATGCCCCTTAAAGGTAAAGGTAAAGGGACCCCTGACCATTAGGTCCAGTCATGGCCGATTCTGGGGTTGCGGCACTCATCTTGCTTTATTGGCTGAGGAAGCCGGCGTACAGCTTCCGGGTCATGTGGCCAGCATGACTGAGCTGCTTCTGGCAAACCAGAGCAGCGCACGGAAACGCCGTTTACCTTCCCACCGGAGCGGTACCTATTTATCTACTTGCACTTTGACATGCTTTCGAACTGCTAGGTTGGCAGGAGCAGGGACCGAGCAACAGGAGCTCACCCTGTCCCAGGGATATGAACCACCGACCTTCTGATCGGCAAGTCCTATACTCTGTGGTTTAACCCACAGTGCCACCCGCGTCCCCTCAATGCCCCTTGGTTCCCTCTAAAGCACATGCAGAAACTGCCTATTTGACCGTTGAACGCACTTTGGATCTCGTCCACTCCAGCTGCCAGAGCCTGCCTTCGCTTGCAGGGGAAGCTGCTAACTCACCGAGGGTTTGAGACCCATAGGCTACCCTCACTTGGCTTAGCCAGCCAATCAAAGTCATACTACCCTGAACACACCCAACCGTGTCTGAGCTTGGAAGCTAAGCAGGGTCAGGCCTGGTTAGCATTTGGATGGGAGACCATTTGGAGATACCAGATGCCCTAGGCTTTTCCTCCTTTTGGGCGTATGGAGTGATAGGGGAGTGGTAGTACCTCTGGTTGAGGACACGTCCTACTCCTTCTGGGGTACTTTGTCTGCCTCTGGTCCATACCCAACACTCTTCTCTCACCTGCGGCTCCCAGAAGCTGTCAGCATGCGACAATGGACACACCCTGGGAACAGCCTGGTCTGTAGCTGTAGAAGCTCAGATGATTCTCATAGGTTTCCTCCTTCTGCCCTCACCTTGAATCTGTGGATACTTCAGCATGGTGAGGAATCCATATCTCAGGGTGGTGCCGATCGTCTCCGTCCCAGCGAAGAACAAGTTGAAGGTGGCCATTACCAAATTCTCCATGCAAAATTCAGAAGCCGGGTTATTCTTTTCCTGCCAAGAGATCGAGGTCAGCTATGATGCCTGCACTGAAAGGGGGAGTCAGACTAGATGACACTTGGGGTCCCTTCCAATTCCACAATTCTCTGAAACCTGCAGACAGCACGTTTTAGGGGGAGCAGATGATGGAGATGAGGAAGTTCATTCCTTACCTGATCCATCTTAACTAAGAAGCAGTCAATGTAGTTGTGGGGGTCAGAGGGATCCAGCGACGCCTGCTGTATCTTGATCCTCTCCTCTATGAAGTGGATGATCCCCTGGGAACATTTGCTGCCCGCGTGGTGGGATCCGGGGATCTTCTCCATGATCTCCGGGAAAATATTGTACAGCTGCGGGGGAAGAAGATGGGGAGCAATGGAAGGGCGTTACCACATTTGGCTGACCTTAGGATGTGTCTCCTGCAAACTCAGATTCCCAAAAAAAGGCACGTGCTGAGAAGAAGAAGAAGAGTTTGGATTTGATATCTTGCTTTATCACTACCTGAAGGAGTCTCAAAGCGGCTAACATTCTCCTTTCCCTTCCTCCCCCACAACAAACACTCTGTGAGGTGAGTGAGGCTGAGAGACTTCAGAGAAGTGTGACTAGCCCAAGGTCACCCAGCAGCTGCATGTGGAGGAGCGGAGACGCGAACCCAGTTCCCCAGATTACAAGTCTATCGCTCTTAACCACTACACCACACTGAGGCTTATGCCTGCCTGGAAAAGTGACCCTTGACTCTTTGCACATGCTCATGGGTCCTTGGGCTCTCCTTTCCAAAAGCCTCCCTTCGCTTCAGAAATTCCAGCGCTGCCATCTGCCCTGCAAGGCCCACGAGTGAGAACACTCTACACAGTGAACTGGAGAGACGGATTCAGCCCATTGCTGTGGTTGCTTAGCATAAGGCGGTCAGGTGGGGGGCAAATTGAGCTCCCTAGGCAACAACTCACTCCTTCCTGCCACAGATTTATGAACCCTGACCTAATAATCTGGATTTCTGGTATTCAGGGCTTTGGCAAATTGCTCTCCTGGAAGGGAGATTCCATAAGCGAAAATATCTAGGGCAGAGCTTGAAGGACTAGATAGGCAGACAGATAGATGGCATGATTTTAATTCTTATACAAGAATTGAGACACGTGGTCACTCAGTGCAGCCTGCCTTTGCAAACGTCTGTCTCATTTAAGACCAGAGAGAACTTTGAGCGTCCATAATGATGGATCTTGGCCTCTGTTTATTTCCTTGATACACCAGGCATATCGTGCTAGAAAACCACCTCAGAAACATTGGACTCTATAGAGGGATTCATTTGAATAAAATATGTTAATTGAATCAAACTTCCAAACTCTTATGGAAAGACACTGAAATTCTTAAAGTGACCTTAACAGAAAAGCCAAACCATTGCTTTGTTTTCTTTTGTTGTTTATGGCTTGTTTGTTGCCATATATGTGTTTTTTGACCAAATTGCGGGAGGCAGTGAAAGACAGGAGTGCCTGGCGTGCTCTGGTTCATGGGGTCACAAAGAGTCGGACACGACTAAACGACTAAACAACAACAACAATGTATTTTTCAGATTGCTATAATTCAAAATGATGGATTAAAAATTAATGATGGTGATGATGTAATTCACAGGGGAACACTGTGTCTAATAAATAGTCTTTATTTGCAAATATAAGCTTTGTATGCATTAATGCTTTGGAACTGGGCTGTATCTTTGCTCTTTTGCCCTTCCATGCTGTGACACTCTATTGTTTAACTTTTCAGTTCTTTGCTTTAAAAAAAACCACGATAATAAGTAAAGGGTAGATATATTGGGGGGGGGGGTTGCAGTCCGTCCGCCCTCACCTGAGACGGGGGCAGGCTGCCCACGCGGAACCGTTCTGTGATCAGCTCACTCAGGGTGATGAATTTCTCATCGTCGTACTGGAACCTGTTCCCAAATACGATGGAACAGATGACGTTGGAGACGGCTCGGCTGATGACGACGGTGGGGTCAAAGGGCGTCCCTAGTGGGGAGAGACAGAAGGCAGGAGGAGGGAAGGAAAGGTCTGTCTTTGGCAAGAGCACACAATGGCTACGCTTGTGGACCAAGCACCACAGAGTCTTCTAGAGGCGACCAATCCTTTAATTATGAATTTCTCCAGAGGCCTACCTTGCAACTTACAGAACTCCTCTGCCAGGCACCGGGCCTCCTCCTGGATCCGCTCCTCGATGGACCGTTTCCCCATCCCGAAATTCCTCAAGGTGGTGAGGCTGAACCTGCGAAGCTGCCTCCACCGATCACCGTTGGAAAAGGTCACCCCTGGCCAAGCAATATTATGATTATTGTAATATTTTTGTGTATATCCCCCCTTCTTCCTTGACAGGGACAGATTGTCTCTTCGATACTCATCCTTTTAAAACCTTGGCCGATTCATGTGTTATGTTTCCCAGGGACATCTCCCACAACCTCCCATTTCCTGACCTCCAGTTTGCTGCATAAATTTCTCCTAACCTTTCTACTGCTGAGATAAACAGTGGTTGTGAAGGGTATTGTTTATGTGCCAGTCGAATGTTGCTAAGTACATTGCTTTCAAGAAAAAACCAGGGTGGGTAAAACCAGCCTTTGTCAACCTGCTGCCCTCCAGCTGTTTGGGGGATGAGAACTTGCATCTCTCCCAGTAACATCTGGCCCAGTTGGCTGGCAAGGGGGAGAAAAAGTCAATTGTGTTTGAATTTACGAGATGTGCCAAGAACTGGAACACAGCTGCGAATCCATGCGTCTCTGATTTTTGCAACGCGGTTCTTCAGCCAAGTCAAGTGCCGCAAAAATAAAGCATGCATAAGAATTGAGCGGATTGAGTAAACAGGACCAAGAGTGAGTCCAATGGTCAAGAAGGCGGTTTCTGCATGTGCTGTAGAGGGAAGTGAGGGGCAGATGGGACTCATCCACCTGGGAAGGGAGCCTATCAAGGAGAAGGAAAACTCTGGTCCTAAAACAGTGCTGCCTTGCGGAATATCTTCAGGAGAAGTCAAGGCAAAGGATTAAACCCTACATAAATCCCTAAGGTGATTGGATGATGCCTTGTACGCCTCCTTCTGGCAACTCCTGCAGCCAAGCTGGTGCCAAACGTCTTGCTCTGCTTTCCTTGGGACCACATCAGTGGGACGAAGAGGGGTCTTGTCCTCTGGGGAGCCCAGGACTGCCCAGGCTTCCGCCCTGGAAAGGTCACTTTGGTGCTGCTAACACAATGGTTTGCCTTCACCCCAGAGGCACACTCCATTGTCTCTAGAGACAGACAGATGCCAATATCTAAACATTAATTACCCGCCCTTTACCCTAAGGTCCCAGCGTAGGGCTGGGGGTTGCAACATTAAAACACAAGGTTAAAAACAGCTTACGGTAACTTGCAGTCACAGAAATAAGGAGGGTCAAATGCGTTTTGTTTTGGGGGAATTGCTTTGCAATGTTGTACATCTTATGAAAAATGTTAGAAGAATCTTGCACTCAAAAGTGGATGAATAATTTGCAAACCAATGTGGATATGTGGGGAATTGAAATTAAGACTGGGGAAGATGAGAAACTGATGGAAACCAAAATTGACAGACCATAGAATTGTAGAGTTGGAACAGAGCCCAAGGCTCACCTGGTCCAACCCCCTGTAATGTAAGAATCTCAGGTAAAGCTTCCAGGACATCCAACCTCTGTTTGAAAGCCAGTGTGGTGTAGTGGTTAAGAGCAGTGGACTCGTAATCTGGTGAATCGGGTTTGATTCCCTGCTCCTCCACATGCAGCTGCTGGGTGACCTTGGGCTAGTCACACTTCTCTGAAGTCTCTCAGCCTCACTCACCTCACAGAGTGTTTGTTGTGGGGAAGGAAGAGAAAGGAGATTGTGAGCTGCTTTGAGACTCCTTAAGGTAGTGATAAAGCAGGATATCTAATCCAAACTCTTCTTCAAGGAAGGAGAGTTCACAACCTCTGGGGGAGACTGTTCCACTAACAGCTCTTCCCATCAGTTAGACCTTCCTAATGTTTAGTCAGAATCACCTTTCTTGTAACTTGAAACCATGGGTTCGAGTCCTATTGGCCCATCCCTAGCTGGCACTGATTGGAATTGTAGTCCAAACCAGATGGAGGGCACCAGGTTGGCGCTCTACCCTCCAACATGTCAGATGAGTGACAGAAAGATGGGCTGAGCTGTGCTCCAAGCCCCCTTTCCCCACAGGGATGGACCTCTCACCGTGCTCATTGAAATCCTTGGAGAAGGACGGCAACTGCCCTCTCGCGTTGAAGTCCTCTGCCTGGTCCACCAGGGCTTCCTTCACCACCTTGTAGCTGCTCAAGACCACGACTCGCCGCAGCCCCAGGTAGATGGTGAAGACCGAGCCATGGGCCTCCCTCAGCTGCCGGGAGAAGAGTCTCAGGTTGGCCCAGGTGTGGACAGGTGAGGGGATAACTGGACAGGAAGGGAGCCCAGTGAGGAGGGAAGTGAGGCCTGGGGAGGGGAGGGCCAGCTGGAAGATTCAGGGCAGATGGAGGACATATTTGGGATAAAGAGTTAAACTATGGAACTCGCTTCCACAGGAGGAAGTGATGGCCACCAAACTGGATGGCTTTGAAAGACAACTTCAGGGAGGAGAGGGCTCTCATTGGCTTCTGGCCAGGATGGCTCTGCTCTGTCTTCACAGCTGGAGACAGCAAGACTTCCAAATCCTAGTCGCTTGAATCCACAGTAGGGGAGACGGCTCTTGTGCTTGGATCCTGCTCGCAGGTTTCCCATTAGGGCATCTGACTGACCGCTGTGAGACGAGGACGCTGGACTAGATGGGACACTGGGCTGATCCAGCGGGCTTTTCTGACCCGTCTCTCCCATATCTGACCCTCTCCCATTAATGTGCGAGGTGGAATTACTGTTAGGCTCATCATTAGTCAGGCCAACGTCACCCGTGCAAGAGTGTGCCGTGACCGCAAGACAGACTATTAAAGTGAAAAGTGCAAGGAGGGTTCTGAAACATGGGTTGAGTAATTTGTATTTCATGGACTGTGATTTAATGAGAGATGGAGAAGCGTCAGAAGGTGCTTGGTTAGAGGACGAACGGCTCAGGTGACATATATTTGCCTATTGTCCTAATGTAGGCATGGCCGTACTTGGCCTTCCAGCTGTTTTGGGACTACAACTCCCATCATCTCTAGCTAACAGGACCAGTGGTCAGGGATGATGGGAACTGTAGTCCCAAAACAGCTGGAGGGCCAGGTTCGGCCACGCCTGTAATGGAAAGGCTCCCCCTGTCTCTGTGGACTCTGTCCTGCTACGGAACAAAGTCTGACTGATTGGGAATTGAGGGTGAGCCTCCATACCTCAACCCCCAATGGTGAGTGGGGCAGGGACAGGAACAACTAATGGAGAAACTCCAGGTTGAGAGGCAGAAGGAGTGGCAGCTTGGCCCTCAAACTGTGGGGTGCATGGCCCTGGCACCGAAATTTGTGGGTGCTCGGCCCCTTCATGGGGGATTTTGTGGGCCCCAGGGAGTTGGCACGTATGAGAGGCAGTCTAACTGTGAACAGCTGTGTGTGAATCTGAACTTACAATGAGGTTGATCTCTGTAGATCATGGCACGGGTATAAGATTGACGTAACTTAAATATGACGTGAGATTCTTCTTCCTGAACCTTGTACTGGCCTCATCTCAGGAAAAACTTCACACCTTGAAATGGTCAACACATGCAAATCCAGAAATCCGTTCAAACTCCAGAATGCATGACTTCAAGATAATGGTGGCACAGCCAAGAGATAGCCAGGTCCAGTTAACTGCTCGCTATATCTCCCTTTGGTTAAGCAAAACACAGATAGAGTGATAAGCAAGCGGATAAGGCCAGTTTTCAGTCCTTTTCTCACTCAGATGGCCATGGGATGGAGCTGGGTGTGTGTGTGTGTGTGACAGGGGACGGGAATCACTCATCTCAATGCCCCTCCTTTCCTTACGAGGAGGCATTAGCCAAGACCCCAGCTCCTCTGGCTCTAACAGGACAGCGCTTAACCCAGCGCTCTCCAGGACTCAGCACACTTCTGCTTTGCTTTAAAGGCAGGTATACTTTCCTCCCCTGCCCCTACTGAGCCAGTGTGGTGTAGTGGTTAAGAGTGGTGGACTCATAATCTGGTGAACTGGGTTCGATTCCCTGCTCCTCCACTTACAGCTGCTGGGTGACCTTGGGCTAGTCACACTTCTCTGAAGTCTCTCAGCCCCGCTCACCTCACAGAGTGTTTGTTGTGGGGGAGGAAGGGAAAGGAGATTGTTAGCAGCTTTGAGACTCCTTAAGGGGAGTGAAAGGAGGGATATCAAATCCAAACTCTTCTTCTTCTCTACTGCTAGTGTGGGTTTATGGCAAAATTGTCAGGCCAACGTTTCTATAGGCTTTTAAAAATAGGGAAGCTTTCACTCTTCCGATCAAGAGTGTGGGCATCGTAGCCAAGAATTCTTTTAGCCCAAAAATGGAAATAACAAGAAGTACCAACAAAAAAAGAGTGGCAGATGAAGATGGTGGACTCTGCAGAACTGGTGAAGCTGAAAGGAAAAATCCGAAACCTGCACGATTAAGTATTCCAAAAGGACTGGAGTAAATTTATACGATACCTGAAAGATTATTGTAAACAATTAACATCACTAGCAGGGTTGTCTGAAGACTTGAATTGAGAAATTTTCTACCTTTCTATATTTATTTAACATTTGAGTCATTTTGTAATGAGTGTAATTAGAATTGGAAAACATACAAAATGGAAGGATATAAAGGTTAATTTTGAAAGCCATGAGGCGGGAGGGAAGAAAGTTGATAGGCTCTAAAGAGCCAGCCAGACACAGTAAGACACCAAACATTTAAAACTTCCCGATACAGGGCTGCCTTCAGATGTCTTCTAAAAGTCCTGTAGTTGTTTATTTCCTTGACATCCGCTGGGAGGGCGTTCCACAGGCCGGGCGCCACCACCGAGAAGGCCCTCTGCCTGATTCCCTGTAACCTCACTTCTGCAGGGAGGGAACCTCCAGGAGGCCCTCGGAGGAGGACCTCAGTGTCTGGGGCTGGACGATGTGGGTGGGGACACTCCTTCAGGTATACATATTGTGTCACTTCTATTTCATGTAATAAAATAGTTTTCTATATTCCTTTGGTGTGAGACGTTCTTAAGGGTTAACACATACTCATTAGACAAGATCATGTTAGAACTCCAGCAAAAGATCCCAAACCTCTCAGCAGTGTGTATATGAACATGCATTAGTCCTGGCTGTGCACATGTGAGTTCAGGTACACACTTGAATTATCAGTTTCTGGGGAAATGTTGTGAGGAGGGCTATTGCCTTCATCTCTGACTGTGGGCGTCACAGAGGTACCTGGCTGGCCCCTGTGGTGGGCTAGAGAACCCCCTTTGAACAGATCCAGCAGCCCTCGCTTTCCTACAGAGATAAGTCCCCAACTGCAGACCCTCCAATTTTTCAGGGACATCCCTGACTTAGAGAAGCCGTCCCAGTTTCTGATTTGATCCTGGAATTTCCAACTTTTCGTTGGAGAAATGTTGGAGGGTATGGAGTCATCCAACTCCCGAGCCGTCTGAAGGTAATCCTGTATAGGGAAGGCTTTTTAATGTTCTATTATGTTTTTATATATCGTATTTTTCGCTCTATAAGATGCACCAGACCACAAGACGCACCTAGTTTTTGGAGGAGGAAAGCAAGAAAAAAAATATTCTGAATCTCAGAAGCCAATCCCTCAGCAGCAATCCCTCTTGCTGTTCTGGCTTCTGGGATAGCTGCGCAGCCTGCATTCGCTCCATAAGACGCACACACATTTCCCCTTACTTTTTAGGAGGGAAAAAGTGAGTCTTATAGAGCAAAAAATATGGTATGTTGGAAGCTGCCCAGAGTGGCTGGCGCAACCCAGTAAGATGTGTGGGGTATAAATAGCAAAATTATCATTATGGAATGGGGCGTCCCTATTTTCATTGGAGAAATGTTGAAGATTAATCTTTTAATCTTTAATCTATAATTTTTAATCTTTTGTTGGTTACTACTACTACTACTACTACTACTACTACTACTTATTATTATTAGCAACTGCAGGGCTGCTTACAGCCTTCCAACCCCACCGGCCAAACTTGCAGGCTTGGTTGTCTTCCCAGAGGAAGAGTTTAGGTCTACTGTCAGGACTTCACTGCAGGAGGAGAGTGGGGAGGCGAATGGAGACTCACCTTCTCCAGGGATTTGAGCATGTTGTTTGGGTCCAGTTGGAGAAAATTCCCCAGGATGGGGAGCGGGGTGGGTCCAGGGGGCAGACGGCCTTTGCCCTTCCATGCCAAGCCCAGGAATAAGACGCCACAGACGCAAAGGAGCAGGAAGAGAGATCCAGAGAGCAGCTCCATGGAGGATCCTGGCCAAGAGATGCCCCCTCTGGGCTATGGGGAGGTGCTGAGAGCCACAGCTGGACTTATAAGGGCGGCTGGGGAACACCCAACTTTCCACATTGGTTATCCAGTAACTCCTGGTCCTCCGACACATTTCCAAGCCAGCTGGGGGGGGGGGGACTCTGCCATTTCCAATCAGGAACTTAATTTGCTAATTTTTCAAGGGCCACATAATGGGTGTTTTCACTGCAAATATTGGGCAGGGCATGGGAAAACAGATTAGATCGAGGTTCGATAAGGTTGGGGCTTTTCTTTTTTAATGCTATGATATACATGTTTATGTCTTACCATATAATTGTTGCAGAAGCATCCAATAAATTTCTGGGGGGGGGGGGGTTATCCTCCACCTGCCTTTCCAGGCTCACGTCCGCACCATCCCTCTAAAGTGCTATGATTCTACTTTAAACGGCCATGGCTTCCCCCAGAGAATCATGGGAAGTGTAGTCAGTTTCAGTGTGCTGAGAGGTGTTCAGAGACCCTCCCTATTCGCCTCCCAGAGCTACAGTTCCCCGAGAAGAGGAACTCTGTTTATTTCCTACAAATTCCTGTTTGTTTGCTGTGTCCCATAGTGGTTATAGTGTCAGACTAGAACCTGGGAAAGACCAGGGTCCAAATTCCCCCCCACCTCAGCTGTGAAGCTCATTTGGGTGCCCTTGGGCTAGTCAGTCACTCTCAGCCTAACCTACCTCGCAAGGTTGTTGTTGTTGTGGAGATTAAATAGGGAGGGAAATAACTATGTACGCTACCTTTTTCAAAATTACTATTTTTATTGAAAGAATTTCAATTATAAGGGGGGGGAGTGTTACAAAGGGGGGGGGAGGGGAAAGAACAAAGATGTTTATAAGAAAGAGAGAGAGGGAAAAGAGAATATAAAAAAATAACACCTTGAGCTCCTTGGAGGAAAAGAGGGAATAAATACCTTGCCTGTGTTTTAAGCAAAAGGACAGGGCCCTTGTGAGAATGACGAAACCATGCGTCTTGTTTGTTTCCCTAATCCTGAGTTTATCTTTGGCAAATATAGTCTATTTCATAGGTCCAAAACAGTCTTCGTTAGAAGAGGCTATAATTACAGTTTGCTAGAAACACAAGATTAGTGTGCTGATC